TCAACCAATTAGCATGTCGGACATTCCGAGTTTCCTAGTTCCGACTAGCATCTGAACGTGGCACTATAGCTACTACTCATCCATCTGTAGTCATAAAAAACCTGTTGACCACCACCTTGTTCTCATTGGCAGTTTGAAGTGACCATATCCAATGTTTTTGCATATCTGATTCAAATCTGTTTTTCTTCCTGCAGTCTGAACACCCAAAAAGCACATGGAATCGGATACTTCAAGCCACATTTCAAACCACCTTTGGTTTGAAATCAGATACAAATCTGATTCCTGGCTACTAGTATGCGACTTGTGTCTTAACGGTCAAATCTGATTTATTTGCCCTCAAGTGGTTTTTAGTCTGTTATATGTGGTAGCTAACTAGCTTGTTAATTGTTTACAAGCAAATTAGTGTGAATGTGCTAGAAAGCTAATCAGCTATCTAGCTAGCTATACTGAACAAAAATATAAATGCAACATGCAACAATTTCAAAGATTTTACTGAATTACAGTTAATGTAAGGAAATCAGTCAATTGAAATATACTCATTAGGCCCTATTCTGTGGATTTCACATGACTGGGCAGAGGTGCAGCCATGGGTGGGCCTTGGGTAGCCAGGCCCAGCCAATCAGAATGAGTTGTTCCCCACTAAAGGGCTTTATTACAGATAGAAATACTCCTCAGTTTCATCAGCTGTCCGGGTGGCTGGTTTCAGACGATCCCTCAGGTGAAGAAGCCGGATGTGGAGGTCCTGCCCTGCCGTGGTTACACATGGTCTGCGATTGTGAGGCCGGTTAGACGTACTGCAAAATTCTCCAAAACGACGTTGTAGGCGGCTTATGGTAGCGCAATGAACATTCAATTCTCTGGCAACAGTTCTGGTGGACATTCCTGCAGTCAGTATGCCAATTGCACACTCCCTGAAAACTTCAGACCTCTGTGGCATTGTGTTGTGTGACAAAACTGCACATTTTAGAGTGGCCTTTTATTGTCCCCAGCACAAGGTGCACCTGTGTAATGATCATGCTGTTTAATCAGCTTCTTGATATGCCACACCTGTCAGGTGGATGGAGAAATGCTCACTAACCGGGATGTAAACAAACTTGTGCACAAAATTTGAGAGAAATAAGCTTTTGTGCAATGGAAAATGTCTGGGATTTTTTATTTTAGCTCATGAAACATGGGACCAACACTTTACATGTTGCTTTTATATTTTTGTTCAGTGTAGTTGACTGCTATGGCTAGCCAAAAAGGACTTGTTTTGAGAGTTGGATCATCATATCCTTTGAGGCTTTAAAAGTGTTCTTAAACTATGATTTTGATCACTCAAAGCAACTGGGAAACCACCATGGCAGGCATTGTTGTCACCATTGCTTGGTGGCTACATAACTTCTGCATGATAGGATGCACCACCACCAATCAGCCTACACCACTGCGCACACACCTGTCGTTCCAATGAAATAAACGTAGCCATGTGATTTTCCGGAAGGTTCACCGTGCTGCCTTGTTGACAACATGACCGAGCGGCACAGATTACTGTTCAATTTGAGAAGGATCTTGCCATTTTTGCCCGTTCACATTATGGGCAGGGCCGGATTAATGCAGGGGTTTACCGGCTGATTCATAAAAAATATAAAAAATAAACTGCATAATAAATCAATGTGACTGGGTAATTGTGTGAGTCGGGCTGGGCCCAATAGGTAAAAAAATAAATACACCAGAAAGCATAATTTAGCCACAGAGGATCAATAGTTTCTAAAATAATAAATACTTGTGGATGACATTTATCACAAGTACATACAGGTAACTGCCCAAATAAAGAAAACGCCAACATAAAGTGTCTTAAAAAGGTGTTGGGCCACCACGAGCTGATAGAACAGCTTCAATGCGCCTTGGCATAGATTCTACAAGTGGACCTAAACCATGCCAGGAAAATGCACCCCACACACCATAACATCAACTTTGTATCCCTCGTTTACTCAAGTGTTTCCTTTATTTTGGCAGTTACCGGTTGCCTAATATACAGTTTGTTGTGTTGTGGCCATAGACATATAATCCATAGAAGGGTTTTGGAATCGGTCTTCTCACGAAAACGTCTGTAGCGTCTGAACGGTTTGGCCTATAAACTAATAGGACCACTCGTTTTGCTCTAAGACCCCCACAAGTGTCACGGGACTCGTCTGAAGGTAACTGGTACCGGTTTAAAAACATGAACGGAAGTATGGAGGTAGTTTTGTGCCTACCCAAAAAAAGGGGTTAAATATGTGTACAAATAGATATATACAATATATATATTTCCTGAGTTTCCTTATATCTCCTAGATATAGGACTTCCTTATTATTTCTTTTTTGACTGTATTTTTTTGCCATTTATGAATGTCTTATTCAATGTGTTTCTATGGGCTATAGTAGTAAAGGCCAAATTCAATATTTTATACAATATTTTTTTATATATATTTGTTATAACCAAAAAGGGGTCCTAAAATTCAAAATCGAATAACTAAATGATCCATGGCATGACCCCCCCCCCCCCACCAACCTGGATCGATATTGGTTTTTAATGCAGACGAGGGCACTGAAACAGGACCATGAGTTTTAATGCTCAGAGGGAGACGGCACAGTATTCCCTTTGAGTCAGGAACCAATATTCCACCATAGTGACCTGTGAATGAGTTGTCTGCAGCATTCGGTCACGTGACAGCTCGATCAGCTGTTCGATTTCACTTATCTGTATCTCATCTGAGCCAGGATCACAGTCAAACGGATTTAGCTGATTTGGTCACTCATCTGTATAATTTTTTTGTATTGCCCCTGCATGCTTGCGTTCAGTTTGTTCAGTTTTCCGAATATGTCTGTTACATAGGCAAGAATATACATTTTCTTTTCATTACACAGAAAGTCAACAAAGTCTGTTTTTTACATCCATTGCAAATGACAACATTTCCGCTCTCAATTCAAAAACTCTTTCCAACACTCCCACTCAAAAAACACCAAGCTTCGGTGTGAAATAGAACATTGTTATGCTCTGATCCCATATCTCCACATAGTTTTGCGAACAGGCGTGCGCAATGTAGTTTACAATCAAAGTTACCTGCTGCGAATCTCCGAGTTCTGCACGTAGCTCTTTTGCTGCCAGTAGCTCTCGGTGTATTCATTATAGCTCAGTGGGTGTATCATACAATCCGTCCATATGGCAGAGGGAGACACATAACTAGAGTGCAGAGGCCTGCCTGCCGTCCCGTGATAGATGGAGCCCCATCTGTGCAAAAGCCCACCATTCGATCCCATGGAATCAGTTTTTTGTCAATATAGCCACACAGCACACTGAACATCCCTGAGACAGAACAATATGTCCTCGTGAATAGCATCCCCCAACATGTAGCGAACAAAAGTCAATGCATGGGCATCTCGGGCCTCACAGCTAACGTCCATTTGGAGAGCATGTGGTGGGTATTTTGAGTCGTGCAGTCAGAATTTCCTCCTGATTGCCAGCTATAGCATCAATTCTTAGTTTCACAATGTTATCTGACAAAGGTATTGATGTGAGTTTTTGAGCCTCTGCCTCCCCACACATTGTTTGAGAGAATGCCAAGAGTGTGCAAAGCTGTCCTCAAGGCAAAGGGAGGGTATTTGAAGAATCTCAAATATATCATATATTTTGATTTGTTGAACACTTTTTTGGTTACTACATGATTCCATATGTGTTATTTCATAGTTTTGATGTCTTCACTATTATTCTACAATGTAAAAAATAGTAAAAATAAAGAAAAACCCTTGAAGGAGTAGGTGTGTCCAAACATTTGACTGGTGGTGTATATATATATATACAGTATATACCTGTATATTTCTTTTTACTAGGATTTTGGAAATTCTCCCGCAACCCCATTTTCATATTAGGGACCCCTAGTTTGGGAACCGCTGCCCTTTACACACACACACAGGAATATTTGTCTGTTGTTAAGATGCAAATTCCTCCTCGTCTGTTGTGAATCACACACACCTGGTCCAGTGTCACACGTCTGAAACATGGCCGCCAGAAGATGTTTTGGGGTGACAAGTATTTTGCTACACTCTGCTCATACAGAAGTAATAAAGGCCTAGTGCACCAATTTCTTTGTGATTTTTATTTATTTATTTATCATCGGGTGCTATAACACCCTCAGCAACCCTACTTCCCGTGGCTATGGTCTGAAACATCGGCTATTTTCATTTTCAATGTGAATGTGTGTGTGTGGGTAAGGGGGCAGCAATGCCATGATGATAATAACGTGATATGAGGCATACCCATCATCTCACAAACACACACAAATAGCCCAAAAACCACACATGCGAAAAACGAAAAGCCCCTTACCTGTGTGGGTGGGGGGGTATACAGTTTCCATAACAACATCTGGAGAAACAATTAATGTCCGTCCCCCTGCCCACACACACAGCAGGATGTTTTAAGTGCGCTTGAATGGCCAACTGATAGCCCCATACTGATAGCCACGTAGTCTCGTGTAGCTCAGTTGGTAGAGCATGGCGCTTGCAACGCCAGGGTTGTGGGTTCGATTCCCACGGGGGGCCAGTATGAGAAAGAAATCAAAATAATGTATGCACTCACTAACTGTAAGTCGCTCTGGATAAGAGCGTCTGCTAAATGACTAAAATGTCAAATGTAAACTGCACCATGGGTATTTACCCGTTTCACTTTCAAGAGCGTGAAGATACAACATACACACACACCGTAACACCACTCAATGACAGAACAAAGTGAAGATGAATAATGTTTTTGTACATTTTATTACAAACATGTTTAGAAGTTTTAAAAAAGCATACATTCATGCATACATTCATACATACATACATACCATAACAACAGCGAATGGTAGCAAAACAAAATATATTTACAAAAAAATCTCAAGACATTAGAAAGAACTGACCAGCAGACTTCTCCTTACTCTCTCTCTCTCTCTCTCACACACACACACACACACACACACATTATTAGGCTATAGCCTATTGTCTTTGTTAGCTGGAGTGCAGACTAGATGACTCTGACTCTGTCGTTGTGGACGTCATGGCGCCTGTTTGTCTACGCGGGAGAATCTTCAGGCTGGACATGCGTGTAAGTGTGAGGGCGCGGCGAGCAGAACTCTTGAAACCCACTCCCAGGAAGGCATAGAGCAGCGGGTTCAAGCAGCAATGGGCGTACGCCATTGGCTCAGACACCGCTAACCACACCCCAAGGCCTGACTCCAACGTACAGCCCCGAGGGATCAGCTCCAAGCGGAGGAGAGCATCCACTGCAATGCCAATGCAGTACGGCAGCCAGCAGAGGAAGAAACAGAGAACCAAAGCCACAGTGGTCCGCACCGCCCTCCTCTTCTGCCTCTGTCCTCCCAGAGGGCCGCGGGTCAGCCTGGACACGATCACACAGTAACACACCAGTAGCACCAGCCCCGGCACCACCAGCCCCACCAGCACCATCTGGAGTTGAAACAGGGACACCCACAGTGGGGCGTTCTCTGGCGGATAGAGCCTTGCACACACCATCTCCCCTTCTCCTGCCTCCTGGGTCCGAGCGAACACCATGTCTGGGATGGCGAGGAGACCAGCAGGCAGCCAGGCGCCAGCGTACACATACCTGCGAGCTAGCAGCTGCCGGATGTGTGTGGTGCTGGTGTCAGTGGCTTTGACCACAGCCAGGTAGCGGTCCAGACTGATGAAGGCCAGGATCAGCACGCTGCCATACAGGTTCACGGTGTAGATGACGTGCACACCCACACAAGTGACTGCTCCGAAGCGCCAGTCCCCTAGCGCTGCGTCCACAGACCAGAAGGGCAGCGCCAGCATGAAGAGCAAGTCGGCGGCGGAGAGGTGCAGCCGGTAGCGGTCCGTTAGGCTGAGCCGGGCCTTCCGCTGGCAGCCCAGTACAAACACCACCAGGCCATTCCCGGTGATCCCTAGGGTGAAGATGAAACCGTACACCACCGGGATGAAGATACGCTGCACGCTGGGGCTCAGCAGCTCACGGTCACACGGCTCCTCAAATCCAGCGCCGAAATCGCCCAAGCCAGAACCAAAACCGTAACTCGTGTCATTGTAGTCATAATCCGATTCTTGTATCACAAAGTGCTACAGAGAGAGGGAGAGAGAAGGATAATTGAGTCAACTTAAAAAATACCATGTGCAAAATTTTAAGAACCGATTCTACAATCTGATTAGTGATTAACATGATAACTGAGATAAATGCTGACAGCCATATAAAGTCCCATAACATTTTTGTTAACAAGGCCAAAATGCTGAATGAAACCATACGTTGTAGTAGGTCATGATGGAGACAGCTATATTTGTCTCTCTCTCTGTTCTCTCTTGCCACTTCTGTCTTTCTCTTCTCCAAGTGGAGTAAAGTTCTGAACCCGGTGAGGTTAAATAGCTGAGGCTACCCCTCTCCCTCCCTTGCTCCGCCCCAACACACACACACACACACACACACATCTGTGTCCTGCTGAAACGCTTTAACTGTTTTTTTTGTGTTTTTTTTTGTGGTGTCAGGTGCTGAAAGTGGCTCTATCGCAGGATATAGAGTGTGTGTGTGTGTGTGTGTGTGTGTGTGTGTGTGTGTGTGTGTGTGTGTGCCTTTGTTTACAGTTTAGGCCCCTAACATCAAATCTGTGAGAATAATATTGTTGGCAATGGCATGATGATATAATGCTGTTGTTGTCTATTGACAGTCAAACAATAAAGGAGAGGGGAAACGTTATAAAGGCATTCTCACTGCCCAGCTGTAGTGTGTATGTATGTATGGGGGCACAGCTGCTGTGTGTGTGAGATAAATTGAGAGAGCGGGAGAGCGAGTTTGTGGTTGCGCCACTTTGTCCCTTTTACATTTTACATTTACATTTACGTCATTTAGTAGACGCTCTCATCCAGAGCGACTTACAAATTACACAGAGCTGAATCAGAACAGTCCTGCATGAGTGGCTCCTGAATACGTTTTTGCTCCTCTCAGAGGTGCACAGGTGTGTGAGAGAATTCTCTGACTTGCGTCATCTGATATGATATGTTTATTATTGTGTGTGTGTGTGCTATTATTCTCAGATCAGATAGTGTTTCCTCCCGTTCTCCGTTCTGTTAAATACCATGGTCTCCCACAAGTTCTTTGACAACAAATGAACAGTGTGTGTGTGTGTTATAACCGTGTCGCCTCTTGGTGCGCTAGTCCATACTCCACATGCTCAACTACAGATTGGCGCTAGATCGGGAGGCGCATGGTGCAATTGCGCATTCTGGGTTCTCAGTATAACCACAGCATGGGAGGGGTCGAAGTGTGTTTATGTTTGTAATAGGTGAGGCACATCCTGTGCAGACATAGACCCAGACAACACTGACAAAGGTGTCACCGCGCACTTACCACACTCTCACACCCTTATACAGATGTAAGATACTTTTGAGCCAGTTTTGCTACAGTAGGAAAATAATCCTTCAGCAACAGGAATGGGAATTATTATGTAGATTATAATTCATGGATATTTTTTGTAGGGGTTGATACATTTTACGTTAGGGCAAATCAAGTCTGACGTTTTTAAAATGGAACTTTAGAAGCATTTTTAAATCTTGAATACACTACAAGTTTTCATTTCCTGCTGTGCAAGAACATTTTTATCAACAAGAGTGATCAAATTAAGATCCCACATCTGTACCCCCTCTCTCCTTCTCTCTCTACCCTTCCACACCATCATCCCTCTTTCCTTTCTTCCCTTTCTCTCGCTCTCTGTACCTCTCTCCTCTCCATTTCATCACCCACACTGTCTCTCCCTCTCCTCCCATCCGCAGAGGCCTAATTAAAGACCTCCTGTACTTAGGGCTCCACTTTGCACCCACTCCAAAAGATTGAAATGAAAATACGGTATTTGGATTGTTATCAGGCCTTATAACACAACTATGAACACTACCACAGCAAGGACTCCTGTAGGCCTACAACACTTACAGTATAGGGCATAAACAGTTAAATGCAGTAAAACACACACACACACACACACACACACAGGCGAACAGGTGTTTCTGGTCGAACAGTTACCATGGAGCCTGTTCCAACGACAGCGCTGGTGACCAGCTGGGTTAGCTCCATACCTTCAGCTGTTTTACAGACCACCCGAGACAGACACACACACACACACACACACACACACACATCAGAACAGAGGAGCAAGAAAATAGTATTTCTGCACATAAGTAGAATGTTGGTGTAAAATGAAGGTAGAAGAAACACAGTAGGAAACAATAGGTAGGGAACTCGTCGTATTGCTGCTGCTGCTGGCCAGCTGAGACGTTTGAACTTAGAGCCAAGTAGGTTATTTGGGAGGGTGGGTCGTGGGTGACGAGCAGAGTCAATTTTCCCAGGGCCTCTCAAGCACTTCCCATACACACAAGGAAGCGGGAGAAACAGAAGCTAGAATTTGACTGCCCTTCCCAGCATTAAAACAGAGCTTCCTGACAGAGAGAGGGAGGAAGAGGAGGGGGAAGAGCGAAGGAAACAGAGAGAAGAGAGGAGAAGACAAATCAACACTCCTTAACAAGAACCCATTCCCGAATCAGTCACCCCTCAGCCACATCCACATATACACACGCTTCTACGCACGGTCACACACACACAGATGCATTAGGCATACCCCACATCCAAAACGTACCACTTCCCAAACCCATGCAGCTGCTAATGTGTCAGGGGTTTGGTGACACACACACACACATTATTCTCCTCTAGTCATAGAGTATTCATAACAGGAAGGACTTCCTCCCTCTCTATTTAGGAAAAGCAAACAGCTGGAAAGATCTCTCACAAACAGACACTCCTGTGCACAGGCAGACACGTACACGCATACACACACCTGTAAAGATATGTCTACCAATGTTGAAACAGGCACAAATGCCCTCAATTTTATCCCTCATTTATCTCATCACTCGTCTCCTCTCTCCTCTAGTCTCCTCTCTCCTTCTACTCCGCAGCACCACTATAGTGATGGTCTGAACGCTTAATGGTGTGTGTGTGGTGTGTGTGTGTGTGTGTGTGTATTAGCTTACTGCCTACAGAACGTCAACGTATCTGTCAATGCGCGACAGACAGAGTTTCCTGTTGGTGAGACTCTGAACAATCCTGGGAAATTCGGACCGAGATGGGCTTCATCTTAAAGGGATAGTACATAATTTTGGCAATGAAGCTCATACTGAACGCAGAAACATAAAAATAGTATCCACACGTTCATCTGACTCTGGGGAAGTACACTGAATAATACAAATGCAACATGCAACACTTTCAAAGATTTTACTGAGTTGCATTTCATATAAGGAAATCAGTCAATTTAAATAAATAAATTAGGCCCTAATCTATGGATTTCACATGACTGGGAATACAGGTATGCATTTGTTGGTCACAGATACCTAAGGTAGGGGCATGGATCAGAAAACCTGTCAGTATCTGGTGTGACCATTTGCCTCTTGCAGCGTGACACATCTCCTTCGCATACAGTTGATCAGGCTGTTGATTGTGGCCTGTGGAATGTTGTCCCACTCCTCTTCAATGGCTGTGCGAAGTTGCTGGATATTGGCGGGAACTGGAACACACTGTCGTACATGTTTATCCAGAGCATCTCAAACATGCTCAATAGGTGTCTGGTGAGTACGCGGGCCATGGAAGAACTGGGACATTTTCAGCTTCCAGGAATTGTGTACAGATCCTTGCAACATGGGGCCGTCCATTATCATGCTGAAACATGAGGTGATGGCAGCGGATGAATGGCACGACAATGGACCTCAGGATCTCGTCCCGGTATCTCTGTGCATACAAATTGATAGAATTGATCCAATACAATTGTATTCATTGTCCATAGCTTATGCCTGCTCATACCATAACCCCACCGCCACCATGGGGCACTCTGTTCACAACGTTGACATCAGGAAACCGCTCGCCCATACGACGCCATACATGCTGTCTGCCATCTGCCCAGTACAGTTGAAACCGGGATTCATCCGTGAAGACCACACGTGCCAGTGGCCAAATGTGAGCATTTGCCCTCTGAAGTCAGCTATGACGCCGAACTGCAGTCAGGTCAAGACCCTGGTGTGGACGACGAGCACACAGATTGTGCAGAAATTCTTTGGTTGTGCAAACCCACTGTTTCATCAGCTGTCCGGGTGGCTGGTCTCAGACAATCCCGCAGATGAAGAAGCCAACTGTGGAGGTCCTGGGCTGGAATGGTTACACATGGTCTGCGGTTGTGAGGCCGGTTGGACGTACTGCAAAATTCTTTAAAACGACATTGGTAGAGAAATTAACATTCAGTTCTCTGTCACCATCTCTGGTGGACATTCCTGCAGTCAGCATGCCAATTGCACACTCCTTCAAAACTTGAGCCATCTGTGGCATTGTGTTGTGTGATTAAACTTCACATTTTATTGTCCCCAGCACAAAGTGCACCTGTGTAATGATCATGCTGTTTAATCAGCTTCTTGACATGCCACACTTGCCAGGTGGATGGATTGCCTTGTCAAATGAGAAATGCTCACTAAGAGGGATGTAAACAAATGTGTACCCCAAATTTGAGATAAATCAGCTTTTTGTGAGTATGGAACATTTCTGGGATCTTTTATTTCAGCTCATGAAACACTTTACATGTTGCGTTTATATTTTTGTTTAGTATAGATAAAGGGCCTCATTGCCAAAATCCCAAACTATTCCTTTAACAGTATAAAGGGGCTTATTCTCCTTTATCTGCTCTGGTGTGAAAAAACTGGACATGTGAACGCATATTTAAAGGACATTACACTGCTTGCTTGGCAAGTACCACTTCATCCTGATTCAGGTCACACAAGGTTTGAACCCAGAACCTCTGCCTTGATAGCACATGTGACCACCCTCCTGGAGCATCTTACCAGTTGGCGCCACACGAAACACTAGCTATTTGCTGGTGCAAGTGGGGACACTTCAGTCTGAGGAGTACGTTTAACACATCCCCATGTGCTACATATACAAACAAACACCTGGTAGGCATCCACCATATTGCTTATCACCAGTCCTGTGTTTCAGATCAGTGTACAGTTGAAGTCTGAAGTTTACATACACTTAGGTTGGAGTCACTCAAACTCGTTTTACAACCACTCCACAAATGTCTTGTTAACAAACTATAGTTTTGGCAAGTCGGTTAGGACATCTACTTTGTGCATAACACAAGTAATTTTTCCAACAATTGTTTACAGACAGATTATTTCAATTATAATTCACTGTATCACAATTCCAGTGGGTCAGAAGTTTACATACACTAAGTTGGCTGTGCCTTTAAACAGCTTGGAAAATTCCAGAAAACAATGTCATGGCTTTCGAAGCTTCTGATAGGCTAATTGACATCATTTGAGTCAATTGGAGGTATACCTGTGGATGTATTTCAAGGCCTACCTTCAAACTCAGTGCCTCTTTGCTTGACATCATGGGAAAATCAAAAGAAATCAGCCATGTCGGGTTCATCCTTGGGAGCAATTTCCAAACGCCTGAAGGCACCACATTAATCTGTACAAACAATAGTACGCAAGTATAAACACCATGGGACCACGCAGCCGTCATACCGCTCAGGAAGGAGACGCGTTCTGTCTCCTAGAGATGAACATACTTTGGTGCGAAAAGTGCAAATCAATCCCAGAACAACAGCAAAGGACCTTGTGAAGATGCTGGAGGAAACAGGTACAAAGGTATCTATATCCACAGTAAAACGAGTCCTATATCGACATAACCTGAAAGGCCGCTCAGCAAGGAAGAAGCCACTGCTCCAAAACCGCCATAAAAAAGACAGACTACATTTGCAACTGCACATGGGGACAAAGATCGTACTTTTTGGAGAAATGTCCTCTGGTCTGATGAAACACAAATAGAACTGTTTGGAGGAAAAAGGGAGCAGCTTGCAAGCCGAAGAACACCATTCCAACCGTGAAGCACAGGGGTGGCAGCATCATGCTGTGGGGGTGCTTTGCTGCAGGAGGGACTGGTGCACTTCACAAAATAGATGGCATCATGAGGAAGGAAAATTATGTGGATATATTGAAGCAACATCTCAAGACATGAGTCAGGAAGTTAAAGCTTGGTCGTAAATGGGTCTTCCAAATGGACAATGACCCCAAGCATACTTCCAAAGTTGTGGCAAAATGGCTTAAGGACAACAAAGTCAAGGTATTGGAGTGGCCATCACAAAGCTCTGACCTCAATCTTATTGAACATTTGTGGGCAGAACTGAAAAAGCATGTGCGAGCAAGGAGGCCTACAAACCTGTCTCCGTTACACCAGCTCTGTCAGGAGGAATGGGCCAAAATTCACCCAACTTATTGTGGGAAGCTTGTGGAAGGCTACCTGAAACGTTTGACCCAAGTTAAACAATTTAAAGGCAATGCTACCAAATACTAACTGAGTGTATGTAAACTTCTGACCCACTGGGAATGTGATGAAAGAAATAAAAGCTGAAATAAATCATTCTCTCTACTATTATTATGACATTTCACATTCTTAAAATAAAGTGGTGATCCTAACTGACCTAAGAGAGGGAATTTTTACTAGGATTAAATGTCATGAATTGTGAAAAACTGAGTTTAAATGTATTTGGCTCAGGTGTATGTAAACTTCTGACTTCAACTGTAGGTAAGGGAGACAAAACAAGAGGTACATCCCAACAGTCCAAAGTGGCTCATTGTCTACTCTGCTTTACCTGCACTCAGTGCACTAATGTGAAAAAGCTGGACAGGTGAATGGCAGGTGATAAGCAATCTCCATGTTGCTCTCACCTGTCCTTTGTTCAGATAAGAGTCGACTACTGTGTATTCTATAGAGGAGAGATGAGAGAGGAAGGCACTTTGCCAGGGAGGACTGACAAGCTATGGTCCTTGTCCTTCCCCTGTGGAAGACCACGAAACCAGACAGTTTTTACAACACACGCAAATATAGTAATGCTGCACTTGAGAACCTGCTCTATCAGTTCAACAGCTTCCTCCAGTGGAGAAACTGCAGAACTGCACCCCACCATCACTCTGGAAGTAGCTTCAACCGCGTAAGCGCTTTTTTTTCATGCAATGTTGCTCCTACAAGAGGAAAGGGGGTTGTTCATATTTGCGTACCAAATTTGATTGGCTAGAATCTTTCAGGCTTTTACATGGTGTCAAGATACAACGATGGGATTGGTCAACTGTGTCGCCCCAAACGTCACATGGTCCTGGTTTTCGCGCGAAAAGTGCACTTTCTCTTCTCCAGCGTGCGTGGTAACATTAGTTAAGAGGAGACTGAAGAGATTTTAGAAACAATTTTATATTTCAGTACTAATCCAGTGAAAAGATGGATCTTGCACAGCCGACTCAGGAGAATGCGGGACAGATGGTGAAAGACGAGTTGGCAGAGAAATGCCAGAAGCTTTTCCAGGCTTTCTTAGAAGAGTGAGCGACATTATGTTATTGTTCTTCTTGGTACTTAACGTTAGCTAACTGGTAGCTTATAGCTAGCTAATAGCTATTGGATAGCTAGCAAAACTTTAACATAGAGAGACAACAATGTTATGTCTAGATTTACTATATTAATCAGTGTGCTACAGCAGTGGTTCCCAAACTATATATACATTATATTATATATATTAAATAGAATAATATTCCGACATATATGTGTGTTTCTATTTTTTTAGGGAACTCAGTCCGGCTTTAAACTTACTCTTAAAAGTTGTAATAGTAGAATGCACAAGGTGCAATATCGAAATTGGGTAATTTAGTGCATCATCAGTTCCTCATGTCATGTTAGTCATTGCATACCTAAGAGAGCTATTTATAACAGAAATGTCCAAATCAACTAGCCCATGTCAGCTAACGTTTTTAAATTTAGTTTTTTTAGCCCATAGATATTGTTGTAATTTTTTAGTCACTCAAAAATCACATTAATACACATTAGACATGGCAAAATGTATAGAATTGCAAGAAAAGTAGCTTTAAAACAGGAAGATTCTCTCCACCAACAAAAGGGGTGTGAACAGTTTGAAGCCCCGTGTAGCTCAGCGCCAGGTTGGGGGTTCGATCCCCACGGGGGGCCAATATGAAGAAAAAAAATGTATGCACTCACTAAACTGTAAGTCACTCTGGATAAGAGCGTCTGCTAAATGACTAAAATGTAAATGTCATGGGGGGGGGGGCTAATCAAGGTAATTGAGGTAATATGTACATGTGGGCAGAGTTAAAGTGACTATGCATAAATAATAAACAGAGTAGCAGCAGCATAAAAGAGGGGGATGGGGTGGGGGAAAACACACATAATAGTACAGTTGGTTAGAGGGCTGTAAAACGGCAGCCATCTTCTCCGGCGCCACTCTTATATTTGTTGTATTTGTGTGTGTGTGTAGGTACCAGACATCAGACGGTGAGGTGAAGTATGTCCATGATGCTGAGGAGCTGATCAGGCCTGAGAGAAACACTCTGTTGGTCTCCTTCACTGATCTGGAAGGATTTAACCAGGAACTGGCAACCACCATCCAGGAGGAGTTCTACAGGTAGTTACAGATCTAGGATCAGATTTTCCTTCTCTAAACCTATCAGAAGAGGCGAGACACTCTATCCATAAAAAAGGCATTTATTTTAAATCCATAAAAAACTGTGTGACATTTCGGTCATAGACCTTCATAAGACCTTCCCAAACTCTAAAGCTCAGTTCAGATACAACAGCTGAGAGGAGACGAGACGGTTTTATGCAGTTTTAGAACAAAGTTTGCTTGATCTGAACGGTCTAGTTTTAGAACGTTTCATGTCGGCTGCGGAAGTTTCCAAGATTCAACATGTCAAATCTTATCTCATGACTTGTGATGAGATGGATCCGTTTAGCCAATCAAAGAACAGTGCGCTGACGTTCTGTGTGTAGCCAAGCAGCTAGCTAGCTAGCTATTTTGCTGCAGTTGAGCTACGCTAGCTTGCAGATATTTATCTGACAAGTCACAAAGTATGCCCTGTTTCTGGTGCATGCATTTAATGATACCTGTTTGCTACAACACCTTGCTACAACAAGTGGCAATTTTGTATCACGTCATTGTAAAGAGACACCGTAAACGGTCTCAACCACCTGTCTTTTTTATCTTAATGCCCCATCTTTAGTCAGCTGTTCTACAACACAAAATTCTAAAACTGGCTAGTTTTGTCTCGTCTTTCCTTTTGTCGGCTAATGTGTATCTGAATCGACCTTAACAGAGCACTTAGAACCTTCCTAGAACTTTGAGTGTTAGCTCGTGTTATTGATGGTCTTAACATTACTCTGTCCAGCTAACAAACTCTTTCTCCTTTTGTTTCTCCTTCCATCTCTCCTTCTCTCCAGAGTATATCCCTTCCTCTGTCGTGCGGTGAGGAACTTTGCTAGGGATCATGGGAATGTCCCTGTGAATAAGGAGTTCTATTTGGCCATCCAGGACCTGCCCACCAGACACAAGTAAGACACATACCTGACAGAAGTTACAAGTCACACAAATAGTGTTCTGACAGGTTCTGTTGTGTAAGATGTTTTGTGTGTGATCTAACAGTCCTTGTTTTGTGTTATAGGATCCGTGAGCTGTCCTCCCTGCGTATTGGTTCTCTGGTGCGCATCAGTGCTCAGGTGGTGAGGACACACCCTGTACACCCAGAACTGGTGAGTTGCACACACCGTATACCCTAGTATAGAGCTAGTTAGTATTGAGGATAGTTAATGACGGCCCCAGTGCAGATATGATTCCTGAACAATCTTTAGCTGTGTGACATCTGTGTCTGATCCTCTCTGTTCTGTGTCCTTCAGGTGAGTGGGACATTCCTGTGTCTGGACTGCCAGGGGGTGTGTCCGGACGTGCCCCAGCAGTTCAAGTACGCCCCGCCCACCGTCTGCAGGAACCCCGTCTGCAGCAACCGCGCTCGCTTCCACCTCGACACACACCGCTCCAAATTCATTGACTTCCAGAAGGTAGGATGGCACGCGTGTGTGTGATTGTGTTTGTTGTCTGTTCTGACACTTCTGTGTGTCTTACGCTCGTGTCTTAACCGCTGTGTGTAGGTACGTATCCAGGAGACCCAGGCAGAGCTGCCCAGAGGGTCCATCCCGCGCTCCCTAGAGGTGATTCTGAGGGCTGAGGCTGTAGAGACGGCCCAGGCCGGAGACCGCTGTGACATCACTGGCTCACTCATAGTGGTGCCCGACGTCTCCCAGCTCAGCACCGCAGGTATGTACACACGCTGATACACATGACACGTACACAGTATTCACACTGGTATGACACATTTCCCATCTCTCACTCTCTCTCTCTTTCTAGGTGTGCGGGCGGAGACCAGTTCCCGTGTAGGAGGGAGACAGGGTTATGAGAACGAGGGTCTTCGCGGTCTTAAAGCCCTGGGAGTCAGAGAGCTGTCCTACAGACTGGCCTTCCTCGCCTGCCATGTGGCTCCTACCAACCCTAGGGTACGACACGCTCACTCAAACCTCGAGACACACACAAACAGATGCTCATCCAATACTGGAGACACACACCCACATACACACTACCTCAGGTAACAAACTAGTATACATATTATGCATGCATGTACGACATTTGTTTGAAGGGAGTTGTAATCGTGTGTATAGTTTGGAGGGAAGGAGCTGCGTGATGAGGATCAGACAGCGGAGAGCATCAAGAGCCAGATGTCAGTTCAGGAGTGGGAAAAGGTGTTTGAGATGAGCCAAGACAAGAACCTCTACCACAACCTCGGCACCAGCCTCTTTCCCACCATACACGGTCAGTACTACACTATTACTACAAACACAGCCTTTGCATGTGGTTTTCTGTGTGTGTGTATCTGTATAATGTGTGTGTGTAATAAATGTATAACGTGTGTGTGTGTGTGTGTAAAATGTGTGTTTGTGTGTGTAAAATGTGTGTTTGTGTGTGTAGGTAATGACGAGGTGAAGCGCGGTATCCTGTTGATGTTGTTCGGGGGTGTTCCTAAGACCACCATGGAGGGAACATCTCTCAGAGGAGATGTAAACGTCTGCATCGTAGGAGACCCCTCTACCGCCAAGAGCCAGTTCCTCAAGTAAGACCCTTACACCCTATACACACTATACACTCCACATTACCTACTTACATGTAGGAGACTCCTCTGTCAAAACTCCCTCCACCCTATAGCCTACACACTTACACAACGACATACAGTTGAAGTCGGAGGTTTACCTACACCTTAGCCAAATACATTTAAACTCAGTTTTTCACAATTCCTGACATTTAATCCTAGTAAAAATTCCCTGTCTTAGGTCAGTTAGGATCACCACTTTATTTTAAGAATGTGAAATGTCAGAATAATAGTAGAGAGAATGATTTATTTCAGCTTTTATTTCTTTCATCACATTCCCAGTGGGTCAGAAGTTTACATACACTCAATTAGTATTTGGTAGCATTGCCTTTAAATTGTTTAACTTGGGTCAAACGTTTCAGGTAGCCTTCCACAAGCTTCCCATAATAAGTTGAGTGATTTTTGTCCCATTCCTCCTGACAGAGCTGGTGTAACTGAGTCAGGTTTGTCGGACTCCTTGCTCGCACACGCTTTTTCAGTTCTGCCCACACATTTTCTATAGGATTGAGGTCAGGGATTTGTGATGGCCATTCCAATACCTTGACTTTGTTGTCCTTAAGCCATTTTGCCACAACTTTGGAAGTATGCTTGGGGTCAATGTCCATTTGGAAGACCCATTTGCGACCAAGCTTTAACTTCCTGACTGATGTCTTGAGATGTTGCTTCAATATATCCACATAATTTTCCTTCCTCATGATGCCATCTATTTTGTGAAGTGCACCAGTCCCTCCTGCAGCAAAGCACCCCCACATCATGATGCTGCCACCCCCGTGCTTCACGGTTGGGATGGCGTTCTTCGGCTAGCAAGGTCTCCCTTTTTCCTCTAAACATAACGATGGTCATTATGGCCAAACAGTTCTATTTTTGTTTCATCAGACCAGAGGACATTTCTCCAAAAAGTACGATCTTTGTCCCCATGTGCAGTTGCAAACCGTAGTCTGGCTTTTTTATGGCGGTTTTGGAGCAGTGGCTTCTTCCTTGCTGAGCGGCCTTTCAGGTTATGTCGATATATAGGACTTGTTTATTCTGGGATTGATTTGCACTTTTCGCACCAAAGTACGTTCATCTCTAGGAGACAGAATGCGTCTCCTTCCTGAGTGGTATGACAGCTGCGTGGTCCAATGGTGTTTATACTTGTGTACTGTTGTTTGTACAGATGAACGTGGTACCTTCAGGCGTTTGGAAATTGCTCCCAAGGATGAACCAGACTTGTGGAGGTCTACAACATTTTTTCTGAGGTCTTGGCTGATTTTCCCATGATGTCAGGCAAAGAGGCACTGAGTTTGAATGTTGGCCTTGAAATACATCCAGAGGTACACCTCCAATTGACTCAAATGATGTCAATTAGCCTATCAGATGCTTCTGAAGCCATGACATAATTTTCTGGAATTTGCCAAGCTGTTTAAAGGCACAGTCAACTTAGTGTATGTAAACTTCTGACCCACTGGAATTGTGATACAGTGAATTATAAGTGAAATAATCTGTCTGTAAACAATTGTTGGAAAAATGACTTGTGTCATGCACAAAGTAGATGTCCTAACCGACTTACCAAAACTATATTTTGTTAACAAGACATTTGTGGAGTGGTTGAAAAACGAGTTTTAATGACTCCAACCTAAGTGTATGTAAACTGTACTTACACACTACACCCCTATTCACTTTTACAATACCTGTCTAACCCTCACACAAAACCACCTCCACATCCCCTTCTACCCACACTATACACGTACACTCGCAGGCCTATCCCCTTACCCACTATCCCCTCTCTCTTAGGCATGTGGAGGAGTTCAGTCCCAGGGCTGTGTATACCAGTGGGAAGGCCAGCAGTGCAGCAGGTTTAACAGCAGCCGTGGTTCGAGACGAGGAGTCACATGAGTTCGTCATCGAGGCCGGAGCTCTCATGCTCGCTGACAACGTGAGTGTGTGTGTGTGTGAGCTGAGGATGGGGTGTGTGTGTGTTTGTATTTCAGTTTGTGTTTTGTGCTTAAAGTGGGATGTGCGTCTCTTTGTCGACAGGGTGTGTGTTGTATCGATGAGTTTGACAAGATGGAGACGAGGGACCAAGTGGCCATCCATGAGGCCATGGAGCAACAGACCATCTCCATCACTAAAGCTGGAGTCAAGGTAGACCCTCACACACAGTCACTAAAGTAGAATTGAACACACACACACGCTCCCTCTGACCTCCGTCCCTCTCCTCCAGGCCACTCTGAATGCCCGTACGTCCATCCTGGCGGCTGCTAACCCGGTCGGTGGTCGCTACGACCGCAGCAAGAGTCTGAAACAGAACGTCAACCTGTCCGCTCCCATCATGAGCCGCTTCGACCTCTTCTTCATCCTTGTGGACGACTGCAATGAGGTGTGTGTTTGTGTGTAAGAGGGAACATTTGTGGGTGTATGTGACAAATGGTGTGTGTGTGTGTGTGTGTGTGTATAATTACTAATGGAAATATATGTGTGTGTGTGTAGGTGACAGACTATGCCATAGCCAGGCGCATCGTGGATCTGCACTCTCGCATTGAGAACTCAGTTAACAGACTCTACTCTCTGGATGAGATCAGACGATACCTGCTCTTCGCCCGACAGTTCAAACCCAAGGTAAATGAAATGTGTGTGCTTCAAGGATTGTCACACTGTCACACTGAGTACATTTACATGCACACTAATCATTTGATACTAAACTGATTATGGCAATAGGCCGAATATGGCATTAGTCATGTAAACACCTTACTCTGATTATCATATGATGCATTTTTCATCATCATGCTGGTGACACTTTGCTTCTTGAATGTCCAATATCTTGAAAACATGACTGCTGACATCATTTTGGGACTGTATCAACTGTGAACGAATGAAAAAAAGACCCACTGTTTTTGATTTTCCCTTTAATCGGCGTCCGGTCATAATTGAAGTAAGCATACGCTGATTAAAACACCTAGATTTTTAAGCAATCTTTTGAAATATTAGGACATGTAATCACCTTAATCGGAGTTCCAGCGGTGTATTGGATCTGCGCATGTGCTAGCGCGAGCCTCTCATTTGCGCCAGTGAAGTGAGTTCGGAAAATGTAGCCTGATTTCAGATGCGTCCTTCTTCTTGCAAAGCATGTAAATGTTTTAATTGAAGTATTATATTAATCTGAGTATTCACAATAATCGTATTATTGAATGCATGTAAACATATCCAATGTCTGTTTTCTGTGCCGTGATAGATAAGGCTTATGCCCAATTCCAATGGAGCAGTACTAATGTGGGTTAATTTGTGTTTTTGCATAGATCTCTGGTGAGTCAGAGGAGTTCATCGTGGAGCAGTACAAACGGCTGCGTCAGCGCGACGGCTCTGGGGGCGTGGCCAAGTCGGCCTGGCGAATCACAGTGCGGCAGCTGGAGAGCATGATCCGCCTCTCTGAGGGCATGGCCCGCATGCACTGCTGTGATGAGGTTAGATGTCACACAACTTATATTTAACGTACACACAACTTATGGTTGTGTGTACGGTGGTTCTCTGTAGCTCAGCTGGTAGAGCACGGCGCTTGTAACGCCAAGGTAGTGGGTTCGATCCCCGGGACCACCCATACACAAAAAAAAAATGTATGCACGCATGACTGTAAGTCGCTTTGGATAAAAGCGTCTGCTAAATGGCATATTATTATTATTATTATATTATACCCAACGTACACATAACTTATATGCACAATGCTCGCACAACTGCTTTCTGCTCCCAAAACCTGTGTTTCGAGTTTGGTTCTGTCCTGAAGGATTGATCAAGTTTGCTCTGTTGGTTTGTCATAGATTGTGTGCTAATAAAGTGTTTAGGGTGTTCTGTCATAAAGTGTGTGTTATTTGTTGTTCCCTGCAGGTCCAGCCTAAGCACGTGAAGGAGGCATTCCGCCTGCTGAATAAGTCCATCATCAGAGTGGAGACACCAGACATCAATCTGGAACAGGACCAGGAGATGGAGGAAGAGGAGGGCGAGAACGGTACATACTCACACACAACCACACAACAAATAGTACTACTGCAGCTTTACTCCAGATATTTACATGTACTGAAACCTCTCTGTCCTCTCTGCAGGTCATGACGTTCCTGACGGAGTGAATGGAGTAAATGGCCAGGTGAACGGGCACGTTGATGGAATGAACAGCCACTCCAACGGAACTAACCAGCCACACCAACGTTGTGAACGCCCACTCTGACAGCAGCTCCAAGCCGTCGCTGCGTCTGACCTTCCCAGAGTACCGCCGCATCTCCAACCTGCTGGTGCTGCATCTCCGCAGGGCCGAAGAGGGTAAGGCACACAAACACACACACACACATTCTACATGTGGACAGTGTGTTATGCAGTGGTTAACTGTTTACCTGTGTGTGCAGCTGAGGAGGAAGAGGAGTTGAAGAAGACTGCAGTAATCAACTGGTATCTGAAGGAGATGGAGTCAGAGATTGACTCAGAAGAGGAACTCATCAACAAGAAGAGCCTGATAGAGAAAGTCCTACACCGACTAGTGCACTACGTAAGTACACACACACACACACACACACACACACACACACACACACACATACCCATTGCACCATTGAGTCAGAGTAATAACACCTTTACAAGCCTTATGTCGAACAGACATCTTCACTAACTCTCTCGTTTTTCTTCTCTCTCTCCATCTCTAGGATCATATCCTGATAGAGCTGTCTCAGGGGGGGCTGAAAGGGTCAGAGACAGAGGCACAGGAAGAAGTTCTGGTCGTCAACCCCAACTACACTCTGGAGGACTAGACTCATCTCATGAGTCTGGTGGTCAACTCCCTCCCTAGCCCTTCCCCCCTCCTTCCCAATCGCCTCTCTCTTTCTATGGCTTTTACGTTGGACTCCCAATTCAAGACTGTTTTTATTGAATGTTGGTCAGTGTAATTACATTCTCAGCTTTTGTCATGTTTAATTTTATTCCTGCTTTATAGAGTTTTTATCGACTCTGGCCTGTTTTAAACCTTTTATTTGTATTATTGTAGACAGGTGAATAATGTAAATATGTTGCTCTGATTTCTCCAGAGCATTAACTGGCATATGGCTGTTTGTGGGTCTCCTCAGTTAACATGATGTTAATCCTCTGACTAGTGTGGTTTTACTTCCTATGTTAAATGTATATATGTATAAAATAATACACACAAATTAAAAGTCTAGCTTATTATGCATATTTTTTGTATAAAAAATAGAAATAACTGTTGTAGCATGTGGAAAAATGCTTCCCCAAAAAACGAAGAATAATCAAATGTGTGGTGCTGTTAATGCCCTCCCTGTGGCCAGTGATGTTTCAGGGAAAACTAACGCAATGTACTTTAAAATGACTAAAACCAAATCGAAACTGTATAAATTATTATGGACCTACATTCATATCGTTTATTGAGTGTCCAGCTCGCTAATATTCACCCAAATGAAAGCAAGACAGTCGGGGAGCATTGAAAATTCCCAGAAGGATGAATAGAGGACTATTTTGAGCACATTTTTACAGCGAGGAAATGTAACACATTTTCAGTATGGCCCTCTGGACGTCGTTAAAGACGGAATGCAGCCCCCGGGTCGAAATGAGTTTGACACCCCTGCAGTAAACATTTAGCAAAGATAATGACGTTATTAACCTGGGTGGAGGGGGATCACATTTATACCTAGTTGGAGTTGATATGATGATGATCGTAATGAATGAATATAGCCAAAGATGATCATGCTTTATTTTCCACTGATAAATCTACCAACCCTAATGACACTGGCTGACAAATCTCTCGGTGAATCGTCCGTTAGGTGACAGCAGAGGGCTGTAGAAAGCATGAATGGCGCTTTGCGCATGCCCAAGCAGACTCCACTTTTACACAAGATGGCGGCACCCTGTAGGAAGCTTGCGAGGTCGGTGATGTTTAAAGGTATGTTTATTCTGAACTGCAAAAAAAACATTTATTTCGATATAACACATAAACAGAGGGTGTCAGCAGTTTTTAGGGGTAATTATCATGTAACGGGTGTTCCTCTCCTTGTCTGCTGTCCTTCACCTGCTGCACAGGTTTGAAAACACAGGTCAAATGAAAACATCAACACCAGGGGTAACTTCCACAAAGCTGTGAACGATCTGAGAGACAAGGCAAGGGCCTTCTACACTGTCAAAAAGGAACATAAAATTCGGCATCCAAATTAGGATCTGGCTAAAAATACTTTAAAGAGTTATAGAACCGATTGCCCTCTACCTGAGATAGAGATCCTATACAATTACTAGAGCGGATATCATAAACTTTAAATTCCATAATGGGGCTAAAATGGCAGCCATGTTGAGGTGTGTTCGTAAATTCAATCTGGAGTACCAGAGTGCGCTCTGGGCGTTCGTAAATCCAGAGCGTGTCTCTCTCTCGGAGCGTTCAGAGGGCACACTGGACGATCTGGCCGAGGAGTAGAGTTGATCCGAGCGTTTTGACCTCACAACCGCAGTCAAGAACCCAATCGTTGGCTAACTTGCTAGCTACTCTCAGACATAAATGAGAGAACACCTCACACTGACCATTTTACTCGCCGTAGCAGAGCTGGTTAGGCTGTTTTCATGTTATCCACAGCGTTGGTGACTGTAAATGTGCTGCTGGCAACAATTTAATTACGCTTTTTTGCGGATGTTTACTGACACGGCAATATTAAACGGGTGATGAGCGTTCGTAAATTCATCAGATATTCTGCGCTCTGGCACACTCAAACGAGAGTTCTCTGAAATCGGAGTAAATAGCCAGAATAAATTTACGAACGCACTCTTGGTCAGGGAGAAATCCAAAACCAGTCTAATTGTAGTGAATGGCAGTAGAGGCATAGGTGATGAATTTTACATTTACATTTTAGTCAATTAGCAGACGCTCTTATCTAGAGCGACTTACAGTTAGTGAGTGCATACGTTATTTTTTTATTTTTCATACTGGCCCCCTGTGGGAATCGAACCCACAACACTGGCGTTGCAAAATTTTCTGCTTTTACTTATACTTATGTGATGTATCAGAAATTTTGTAATGGAATTATAGTCAACCTTAAATATTGTCATGTAATTATAAATACAGTTTGTGTTTTATACCAATTTTCCTTATAAATAGCCTCTAAAATACCGTACATGTAAACACCATAAATGTATCAGATTCAGTTTTTTTGGAAAGCTGTGAGTGCTATTATGATACAATATCAGTACTCATTGCATTTACAACTTGTCTAAGTCCTATCATCATCTGATTTGAGACAGTGTATGACTGTGGATTGACTGCATTGCTTTAATTGAATATTGGCAATTAATTTGAAAAATAATAATTGAATCATTCCTCTAAAACTGGCTGGCTAGCTAGTTAACACACATTTTACATTTACATTTACATTTATGTAATTTAGCAGACACTCTTATCCAGAGCGACTTACAAATTGGTGCATTCAACTTAGGGATAGCCAGTGGGACAACCACCCTTTTTTTTTGTGGGGGAGGGGGGGATAGAAGGATTACTGTTATACTATTCCAGGTATTCCTTAAATAGGTAGGGTTTCAAGTGTCTCCGGAAGGTGGTCAGTGACTCCGCTGTCGTGGGGGTGCTTGTTCCACCATTGGGGTGCCAGAGCAGCGAATAGCTTTGACTGGGCTGAGCGGGAACTGTGCTTCCGTAGAGGTAGGGGGGCTAGCAGGCCAGAGGTGGATGAATATAGTGCCCTCGTTTGGGTGTAGGGTCTGATCAGAGCCTGAAGGTAAGGAGGTGCCGTTCCCCTCACAGCTCCGTTGGCAAGCACCATGGTTTTGTAGTAGATGCGAGCTTCAACTGGAAGCCAGTGGAGTGTGCGGAGGAGCGGGGTGACATGAGAGAACTTGGGAAGGTTGAACACCAGACGGACTGCAGCGTTCTGGATAAGTGTTAGGGGTTTAATGGCACAGGCAGGGCGCCCAGCCAACAGCGAGTTGCAGTAATCCAGACGGGAGATGACAAGTGCCTGGATTAGGACCTGTGCCGCTTTCTGTGTAAGGTAGGGTCGTACTCTGCGAATGTTGTAGAGCATGAACCTGCAGGATCGTGTCACCGCTTTGATGTTAGCGGAGGGTGTTGTCCAGGGTCACGCCAAGGTTCTTCACACAGTGCAGATAACACTATCTTATCACAGCACTGAAAAAATCATGGTTGACCAACTCCTTGACCTTCATGGCTGACCTTTGGACCATCATAAGAAGGTTCATATCCATTCTAGTATTCTAATTCCTAATTATATGGGTCTGGGGACCTCTCACCAACCAAGAATTCACAAAATGGGACAAACACCAAATTGAGACTCTGCATGCAGAATTCTGCAAAAATGTCCTCTGTATACAACGTAAAACACCAAATAATGTACACAGAGCAGAATTAGAACGATACCCGCTAATTATCAACATCCAGAAAAGAGTCGTTAAATTCTACAACCACCTAAAAGGAAGTGATTCCCAAACCTTCCATAACAAAGCCATCACCTACAGAGAGATTAACCTAAAGAAGAGTCCCCTCAGCAAGCTGGTCCCGGGGCTCTGTTCACAAACACAAGCAGACCCCACAGAGCCACAGGACAGCAACACAATTAGTCCCAACCTAATCATGAGAAAACAAAAAGATAATTACTTGACACATTGGAAAGAGCTAAACAAAAAACAAAGCAAACTGGAATGCTATTTGGCCCTAAACAGAGTACACAGAAGCAGAATACCTGATCACTGTGACTGACACAAAATGAAGGAACGCTTTGATTATGTACAGACTCAATGAGCATAGCTTTGCTATTGAGAGAGGTCGCCTTGGGCAGACCGAGAGAGAAGACAGGCTATGTGCCCACTGCCCACAAAATTAGGTGGAAACTGAGCTGCACTTCCTAACCTCCTGCCAAATGTATGACCGTATTAGAGACGCATATTTCCCTCAGATTATACAGAACCACAAAGAATCGACAGTTACTAACCTCGATTTCAACTTCAAATCTGACTTCAACTTCGACTCAGCTGTTCCCTTGTTCATTCCATTGTTTCATGGGCTACCAAAACACTACAGGCGTAGATGCAGCAGACGAGTCGGCATCCTTGTAAAACTGAGACAAAGAGAATATCGATCGGCACTCCCCTCCGTTCTATTGGCAAATGTCTAGTCACTCGAGAATAAGATGGATGAGCTTCGTTCGCGACTCTCCAATCAGAGAAACTTGAAAAGCTGCAATATTATATGCCTTGCAGAGATGTGGCTGGATGACTATGTATGTAGAACTCAGTGGTTTCTCCATGCAGCAGCACAATCGGACGAAGGAGGCCTCGGGCAAGTCCAAGGGGGAGGGGTGTGCCTCTTCATAAACAACAACTTGTGTGCTGTTTCCATTGTGAAGGAAATGTCGAGCTTTCGCTCAACTGATATAGTATACCACATGGGAAGCTGCAGACTTTTCTCTACCAAGAGAGTTCTCATCCATAATTATCACGTCTGTCTACATCCCTCCACAAGCCAACACCACTGACACTGAATGAACTGTATGGGGCCATAAACAAACAAGAAACTGCTCACCCAGAGGCAGCATTTCTTGTGGGTGGAGACATTAACATGGGGAGACTTAAAACCGTTCTACCTCACTTTTACCAACACGGCTCCTGCGCCACTAGGGGCGCTAAAACTCTAGAACACTTTTATTCTACCCTCCCTTAGGCAAATTTGATCGCAACTCTTACTATCCTGCTTCTTTTATACAAACAAAAGCTCAAACAGGAAGTGCAAGGGACGCGCTCAATACGGAAGTGGTCAGATGAAGCAGACGCGAGGATAAAATACTGTTTTGCTAGCACAGACAGGAAGATGTTCCGGGTTTCATCCGATAGCATTGAGGAGTTTACCACATCAGTCACGGGCTTCATCAATAAGTGCATAGACAACGTCATCCCCACAGTGACTATACGAACGTATCCAAACCCAAAACCATGGATTACAGGCAATATCCCCACTGGGCTAAAGGCTAGAGGTACCGCTTACAGGGAACAGGACACGGACGCATACAAGACAGCCCGTTACGACCTCCGACGAGACATCAAACATGCAAAAGGACAATATAGGAGGAAGATGGAATCCTATTACACCGGCTCCGACACTCATCGTATGTGGCAGGGCTTGCAGACGATAACGGATTACAAAGGGAAACCCAGCCGTCAGATGCCCAGTGATGCAGAACTCCCAAACGAGCTAAATAATTGTTTATGCTCGCTTCGAGGAATACAGCACTGAGTCTTGTGTGAAAGCCCCTGTTCCGGATGACTGTGGGATCTCGCTCTCCGTGGCCGATGTGAGAAACTATTAAACAGGCTAACACTCGCAAGGCTGCCTGGCCAGGTGCGTTCTCAAAGTATGCGCAGACCAGCTGGCAAGTGTCTTCACAGACATTTTCAATCTCTCCTTGTTCGTCTGTAATCCCATAATGTTTAAAGCTGACCACCATTGTCCCTGTTACCAAGAACTCCAAGGTAACCTACCTAAATTACTGTTGCCCTGTAGCACTTGCATCTGTCATTATTAATAGATTTGAAAGGCTGGTCATGACACACATCAACGCCATCATCCCAGACACCCTGGACCCACTCCAATTCGCATACCACCCCAACAGATCCACAGATAACACTTTCTCAATTGCACTTCACACTGCCCTCTCCCAACTGGACAAGAGGGGAAATAACTTTAGGGGACCAAAGGAATTGGGACAAATTCACTTATGTGTATTAAAGTAGTAAAAAGTTATGTATTTGGTTTTATATTCATAGCACGCAATGACTAAACTTTTTACTACTTTAATACACATAAGTGAATTTGTCCCAATACCTTTGGTCCCCTAAAGTGGGGGGACTATGTACAGAAAATGGTGTAATTTCGAAACTGTTCACCCGATAGGGATGAAAATACCCTCAAATTAAAGCTGACAGTCTGCACTTTTAACGTCATAGTCATTGTGTTATTTCATCCAAAGTGCTTGAGTACAGAGCCAAAACAACAACAAATGTGCTACTGGTCCCAATACTTTTTTGGAGTTCACTGTATGTACGCACTATATACACACTCACTTACACACTACACTGATACTCTCACACAAAACCCACACACATTCACATACACTACATACGCCCACACATAACACACGCACATACCGACACAACACAAATACACACACACACACACACACTCCTCATATGCTGCTACTCTGTTCTCTATTTTACTCTTATTATTATCTGTCCTGATGCCTAGTCACTTTACCATGCCTTCATGTACATGCTGTATCTACCTCAAATACCTCGTACCCCTTCACATTGATATGGTACTGGTATTCCCTGTTTATAGCTCCATTCTTCTGTATTATATTAATGTGTTACTATTTGTCTTTGTATTATAATTGTTTAAACTCTGCATCGTTGGGAAGGGCTCGTAACCAAGCATTTCACGGTAAAGTCTACACCCGTTGTATTCGGCGCAAGTGACAAATAAAATTGTATTTGTATGTACTTCAAAAAAGGTATAAATAAGCATTTACAAATAACTGACAAAATGCCTATTTGGCTCCTCCAATGTAAATCACTCATGACTGCCATGCACAGGTCGGAAGGCTACAACCGCTCAGTACATTGGAGGTACCGAAGAGGCATTTTTTCGGTTGTTTGTACATTTTTTATTTAAACCTATTTTGGAAGTACATACCGGCCGTATCAGGAGTAAATGAAGATGATTGCTCAGCGAAACTCCATATTTGGTGAGTAACGAACGTATTTTGACGTAACGCTTGCAAAGCTGTCTAATGGGAGTTTGAATCAGGGATTCCTAGGCGTTAGACAGGAGACCCGTCATACTCATCGTCAACATCTCTAACGCATAGATACTGGGGCAGCTGATTCCGAAGGCTAGAATTATTTGACCTGACCAGTACTCTCACTGTTTTAGGTTTGTGTCAGATCCCAGGCCGGTCACTATGGACACAGAGGTGCCCGATCAAGTTACAGGCTCTGAGGTGCATTCCTCCCTGGTGTCTCACCCGACTCTACCGACCACTGACCACCACCAGGCCGACACTGATCAGCACCAAAACAGAACAGCCGAGAAGCGCTGATCAGCAGAAAACGACTGACACGCTGAAAGAGCAAAAGGAAGAGACTGAGGAGGAGGGACCAGTGTACATCCCCACGAGAAAGGCCAAGAACCCCATGATGAAGATCGGATATGCCTGGTGAGAGACCCTTTGTTCTCTAACGTGGTTTATATTCAGATTTCTATTGTATAGAAACGGCTGACAATTTGATATTGTATTCAGGTGAATAACCCCTTTGGTAAGTTCCCATTCTCTCTCGCTCTCTTTCCCCCTCTCTCTCTGTAGGATGATAGGTCTCCCTGCAGGTATAATAGGGTTCATCCTGATGAAGAGAGAGGTGGATAAGAACCGCCTGAAGCAGCTGAGGATTCGCCAGCGGATGAACAGATCCAATGAAGGAGAGTACGAGGGTAGCCGTTACCGCAACAACAGACTGGACTGATACCAACTGCACTGAGAAGATGTGTGTGTGTGTGTGTGTGTGTGTGTGTGTGTGCGTGTGTGTGTGTGTGTGTGTGTGTGTGTGCGTGCTTGACTGACTGACTGAATGTGTATGTCTGCAGCTTGTGTGTGTGTGTTCACTGCCTCTGCTACCATTGGACTGATGAAGCCTTAAAGAGACTTACTGATGTATACAAATTAAAAACAGTTGTTGAGAGACACCCGTACTTTGCTCAGTAGCTATGTTCACACCTACAAGAATGTATATGAATCAACTGTATATGTTACCCCACTCTTCCACCAAGGCACCTGCAAGTTCCCGGACATTTCTGGGGGGAATGGCCCTAGCCCTCACCCTCCGATCCAACAGGTCCCAGACGTGCTCAATGGGATTGAGATGCGGGCTCTTCGCTGGCCATGGCAGAACACTGACATTCCTGTCTTGCAGGAAATCACGCACAGAACGAGCAGTATGGCTGGTGGCATTGTCATGCTGGAGGGTCATGTCAGGATGAGCCTGCAGGAAGGGTACCACATGAGGGAGGAGGATGTCTTCCCTGTAACGCACAGCGTTGAGATTGCCTGCAATGACAACAAGCTCAGTCCGATGATGCTGTGACACACCGCCCCAGACCATGATGGACCCTCCACCTCCAAATCGATCCCGCTCCAGAGTACAGGCCTTGGTGTAATGCTCATTCCTTCAACGATAAACGCGAATCTGACCATCACCCCTGGTGAGACAAAACCGCGACTCGTCAGTGAAGAGCCCTTTTTGCCAGTCCTGTCTGGTCCAGCGACGGTGGGTTTGTGCCCATAGGCGACATTGTTGCCAGTGATGTCTGGTGAGGACCTGCCTTACAACAGGCCTACAAGCCCTCAGTCCAGCCTCTCTCAGCCTATTGCGGACAGTCTGAGTACTGATGAAGGGATTGTGCATTCCTGGTGTAACTCGGGCAGTTGTTGTTGCCATCCTGTGCCTGTCCCGCAGGTGTGATGTTTGGATATACCGATCCTGTGCAGGTGTTGTTACACGTGGTCTGCCACTGCGAGGACGATCAGCTGTCCGTCCTGTCTCCCAGTAGCACTGTCTTAGGCGTCTCACAGTACGGACATTACAATTTATTGCCCTGGCCACATCATGCCTCCTTGCAGCATGACTAAGGCACGTTCACGCAGATGAGCAGGGACCCTGGGCATCTTTCTTTTGGTGTTTTTCAGTGTCAGTAGAAAGGCCTCTTTAGTGTCCTAAGTTTTCATAACTGTGACCTTAATTGCCTACCGTCTGTAAGCTGTTAGTGTCTTAACGACCGTTCCACAGGTGCATGTTCCTTAATTGTTTATGGTTCATTTGAACAAGCATGGGAAACAGTGTTTAAACCCTTTACAATGAAGATCTGTGAAGTTATTTTGATTTTTACGAATTATCTTTGAAAGACAGGGTCCTGAAAAGGGGACGTTTCTTTTTTTGCAGAGTTTATAAGTTATCCTGTATGAGCTTATGTGCTGAATACAGTACGATGTTACAGGTGTCAAACGTATTGGCATGTGGCAGCAGTGTGTAGGAGGGAGGTCCCAAGGTGTGAGAAGTGTGCAGAAGGGCATGAGACAAAGGAATGTGTAGCATTGGGGAAAGTAGTGGTATGTGCTAATTGTAGGGGTGCCCATGGGGCTGGGGATCAGAAATGTCCCGTGCGAGAGAGGCAGGTTGAGGTTTCCAGAGTAAGAGTAGTGAAGAAGTTGTTATATGCTGAGGCAGTGAAGAAAGTAGAGGAAGATAGGTCAAGGTGGAGGAGTGGTGAGAGTAGTATATACAGCTCTGGAAAAAATTAAAAGACCACTGCAAAATTATCAGTTTCTCTGGTTTTACTATTTAAAGGTATGTGTTTGGGGAAAAATAACTTTTGTTTTATTCTATAAACTACTGACAACATTTCTCCCAAATTCCAAATAGAAATATTGTAATTTAGAGCATTTATTTGCAGAAGATGACAACTGGTCAAAATAACAAAAAATATGCAGTGTTGTCAGACCTCGAATAACGCAAAGAAAATAAGTTCATGTTCATTTTTAAACACCACAATATTAATGTTTTAATTTAGGAAGAGTTCAGAAATCAATATTTGGTGGAATAACCCTGATTTTCAATCACAGCTTTCATGCGTCTTGGCATGCTCTCCACCAGTCTTTCACATTGATGTTGGGTGACTTTATGCCACTCCTGGCGCAAAAATTCAAGCAGCTCGGCATTGTTTGATGGCTTGTGACCATCCATCTTCCTCTTGATTACATTCCAGAAGTTTTTAATGGGGTTCAGATCTGGAGATTGGGCTGGCCATGACAGGGTCTTGATCTGGTGGTCCTCCATCCACACCTTGATTGACCTGGCTGTGTGGGATGGTGCATTTTCCTGCTGGAAAAACCAATCCTCAGAGTTGGGGAACAATGTCAGAGCAAAAGGAAGCAAGTTTTCTTCCAGGACAACCTTGTACGTGGCTTGATTCATGCGTCCTTCACAAAGACAAATCTGCCCGATTCCAGCATCGCTGAAGCACCCCCAGATCATCACCGATCCTCCACCAAATTTCACAGTGGGTGCGAGACACTGTGGCTTGTATGCCTCTCCAGATCTCCGTCTAACCATTAGACGACCAGGTGTTGGGTAAACCTGAAAATTGGACTCAGAGAAGATGACCTTATTCCAGTCCTCTACGGTCCAATCCTTATGGTCTTTTGCAAACCTCAGCCTGGCTTTGCACGACTTCAGCCCTGCCCCTAGGAGCCTGTTTCAAACCGTCCTCGCGGTGCACTTCACACCAGCTGCCATTTGCCATTATTTTTGTAGGTCATTTGATGTCATCCTACGGTTGTTGAGTGACATTCGAATGAGTTGGCGGTCATCCCGGTCAGTAGAGTCGTTTTCGCCCTCTGCCGGTCTGTAGCTTTGTTGTCCCCAATGTCTGCTGCTTGACCTTGTTCTTATGAACCGCCGTCTTTGAAATTTTAAGGATGGAAGCAACCTGACGCTCACTGTATTCCTCTGCCAGTAAAGCCAAAATTGAACCCTTCTTTTCCTCACTCAAAACTTTCCTTTTCAACTCTTTTGGCATGGTCAATAGTTATTTTTTGATTAATATTACTTTTGAGGTACTATTAGCACTGTTTTTTGCCATCCTGCTGGTCCTATTGCAAGAGGATAGTGATGACCACAGCAGTGGTTTTTATACTTTTCCTCGTTAAATAAGATTTGGTTCATGTGATCACCTAATCAGTGCCTAATTCAGTGGAATTCAACAGACACTGGCATGGAATGGCTGTCATACATGTAGAGATACTGATTTAAGAAACATTTGCAGTGGTCTCTTAATTTTTTCCACAGCTGTATGTACCAGTACAGAGGAATAGGCCAACAAGTGATATATGTTTCAGTAAGATTGGATTTTTAGCATTAATAGCAATGGTTATTAATTGTACTGCAGGGATGGAACGTAAGTCGAAGAAAATGTAGGTTGTGGTGGCAGCTGCAGAGAGGTATTTGGGTGTGTGAGACTTGACATCAGAAGTTACAGGTAGGGTGGTGTTAATTATTATGAATATATATATTTATTTATTTATAATTTGTGAGTAGTGTTAGATGGTAGGGTATTTATTTATTATATATTTTTCAAGCAGTTGTACTCCAGTCTAGTAGGTGGCGGTAATGCAACATATTGGATGCCAACCGCCGTTAAACCTCATCAAAGAAGAAGAAAAAGACCCAAGGCTGGAGACTATCTTCAGCAAATATGGTTGAGAAAAATACTAGGATGGAAGCAAATGTAAATAATTATAACGTCCTAACGAATCATGCAAAAAATGTACAGTTGAGAGGAATATGTTAATGTTGAGACAAACGATTACGCATATTTTTTTGTCAAAGTTAATTGACGAATATCGCTATTTAGCAAGCTAGCTGACTGGCTAGCTTTATTGGCGTTGTGACATGAGTATGAAATTGTAATACTGGTTGTTTAATGTTTATGGGACTCCTGAAACAACCAGCAAACCAGGCTGTCGTCTTGTGAAACAGTGGATGTAAAGAATCTAGCTAGCTAAAGCATTTAGTGCAAATTGAATGTACAATTTTGTAAGCTATTATAGAGCGTGTAGGTGGGGGAGTCGCGTGTTCTCCTGTCTCCTCAAATGTCAAGCCCTTAGAGTCATGCTAGTGGTCCCTCGCACACACGCAAACACGCAAACACCCACACACACTGACTGGGGATCAGACCTAAACAGTTTGACTTTTACAATACCAATATGAGTCTACATGAGTCAAATGGCTGTGGTTCATGTAACTGGGTAATTCTACAATAAAGTCTAGTTCAAATATGAAATGAATAACCTTTTATTTTAGCCCAGAGATTGAGGGAGTTCACACCAAATCATCCGTGGGTTTGGTTTTGAGAGAGTGAAAGTAGTGCGGTTAAAGCAAGGGAAGTCACTAACGGACCGAAACTCTAGACAGTGAGAGAGAGAAAAAACAGGACCCTCATCCTTACTCACACTTCAGTGTACAGAACTGTCTAATTTCAGCTATCTAATTTCATGTTATTGCATGTTTCTGTAATGTTATGTCTGCTCCTGTAGTGAGCCTTGTCCATCTCCCTCAACGTCATCGAAACTAAGGAGCTGATTGTGGACTTCAGGAGACAACAGTTGGAGCACGCCCCATCCACATCAACGGGGTGCAGTGGAGAAGGTGAAAAGCTTCAAGTTCCTCACATCGTACATATCACTGACAATCTGAAATGGTCCATCCACACAGTCAGTGTGGTGAAGAAGGCGCAGCAGCGCATCTTCAACCAGGAGGCTGAAGAAATTTGGCTTGGCCCCTAAGACCCTCACAAACTTTTACAGATACACCATTGAGAGCATCCAGGGTCCTTAGCTTAGTGATGAGCTTTGAGGGCACTATGGTGTTGAACGCTGAGCTGTAGTCAATGAACAGTGGTGGAAAAAGTACTCAATTGTCATATTAAGATACCTTAATAGAAAATGACTCAAGTAAAAGTGAAAGTCACCCAGTAAAATATTACTTAAGTGAAAGTCTAAAAGTATTTGGTTTGAAATATACTTAAGAATTAAAAGTAAATGGAATTGCTAAAATGTACTTAAGTATCAAAAGTAAAAGTAAAATTATAAACCTTTTCAAATTCCTTATTTTAAGCAAACCAGACGGCACCATTCATTTTTTTTTTTTTTTATTGACAGATCGCCAGGGGCACACTCCAATACTCAGACAGTAACGTAGCTAGCTAACTATTTTCTTGCTTATTGTGTAGTGGAGGATAAAAAATACCTGTATGCTTATGGATGTGTAGCTAGCTATGTAGCCGATCGTTGTATGGACCCTAAAACGTTTGGTATAAATATTAGTTCAGAACCTAGCTATGAACCTCAGCTATCATAACTGGTTGTATCAACCTCAAAACAGTCTGAATGACATTAATGAAGCCTATGGATTGAGTAGAATATATAACTTTGTGCCAATGATGCAAGTCCTATATACATGTAGTTATTACCATGCATGAGATCCCCACATAGTAGCCTGTACATTGAATATATTCACTGATCATGTACTCTACCTTGGCAAATAAAGGTGCAGTTCATGTATGAATGTCTGTGAGACATTCTTTTTCAGTCATATCCAATCCCAGGAGTATCAAACTTTTAACACTTTGTCTGCATGTATGTATTAAAATTATACACTTCAACAGTGTTTACCAATCCTGGTCCTGGGACAGCAATGGTTACATATTGTAACTATACAATAGACTACAAACATGATTTAACTAGTTAAAGGCTGATTTGTAATTCATATATACAGAATTTAAAAAATTTACACTACCCTTCCTATGCATCATGTAAATACTCTAAACGGTTCATCTCACTATCTAATTTCCTTCATCGGCATTGATCTGAGGACACAGGATAGGTGTAGTATTTCATTAAATGAGAGACATAATTTCAACCAGTAGAGAATGTGAAACACTATTTAAAAGTTAATTATCCAAGTGTTATAAATACATAATACATGCATTATAAATATTATATTCTAAATACAAGTTCAATCTGTACTTCAATGCACATCTGGTGTGCATTATAAAAACAAAGAAAGAGGCAGGTAGAGGTAAGAAAGAGGTAACCAGGGCCAAAAAAAACTTGAACGTGCATTACTATTCACCCCCCAAAGTCAATACTTTGTAGAGCCACCTTTTGCAGCAATTACAGCTGCAAGTCCCTTGGGGTATGTCTCTATAAGCTTACCTGGTCCGTGAGTTTTGGTGGGCGGTCCTCTCTTGGCAGGTTCGTTGTGGTGCCATATTCTTTCAATTTTCAAATAATGGATTTAATGGTGCTCCATGGGATGTTCAAAGTTTCTGATATTTTTTTATAACCCAACCCTGATCTGTACTTCTCCACAACTTTGTCCCTGACCTGTTTGGAGAGCTCCTTGGTCTTCATGGTGCCGCTTGCTTGGTGGTGCCCCTTGCTTAGTGGTGTTGCAGACTCTGGGGCCTTTCAGAACAGGTGTATATATACACTGAGATCATGTGACACTTCGATTGCACACAGGTGGACTTTATTTAACTAATTATGTGACTTCTGAAGGTAATTGGTTGCACCAGATCTTATTTAGGGGCTTCATAGCAAAGGGGGTGAATACATATGCACGCACCTCTTTTCCGTAATTTATTTTTTTGAATTTTTGGAAACAAGTTATTTTTTTCCTTCCACTTAACCAATTTGGACTATTTTGTGTACAGTCGTGCTCAAAAGTTTTGAGAATGACACAAATATTAATTTTCACAAAGTCTGCTGCCTCAGTTTTGATGATATCAATTTGCATATACACCAGAATGTCATGAAGAGTGATCAGATGAATTGCAATTAATTGCAAAGTCCCTCTTTGCCATGAAAATGAACATACTCCCCCAAAAAAACATTTCCACTGCATTTCAGCCCTGCCACAAAAGGCCCAGCTGCCATCATGTCAGTGATTCTCTCGTTAACACAGGTGAGAGTGTTGACGAGGACAAGGCTGGAGATCACTCTGTCATGCTGATTGAGTTAGAATAACAGACTGGAAGCTTTAAAAGGAGGGTGGTGCTTGAAATCATTGTTCTTCCTCTGTTAACCATGGTTACCTGCAAGGAAACACGTGCCGTCATCATTGCTTTGCACAAAAAGCGGTTCACAGGCAAGGATATTGCTGCTAGTAAGATTGCACCTAAATCAACCATTTATCAGATCATCAAGAACTTCAATTGTTGTGAAGAAGGCGTCAGGGCGCCCAAGAAAGTCCAGCAAGCGCCAGGACCGTCTCCTAAAGTTGATTCAGCTGCGGGATCGGGGCACCACCAGTGCAGAGCTTGCTCAGGAATGGCAGAAGGCAGGTGTGAGTGCATCTGCACGCACAGTGAGGCGAATACTTTTGGAGGATGGCCTGGTGTCAAGAAGGGCAGCAAAGAAGCCACTTCTCTCCAGGAAAAACATCAGGGACAGACTGATATTCAGCAAAAGGTACAGGGATTGGACTGCTGAGGACTGGGTTAAAGTCATTTTCTCTGATGAATCCCCTTTCCGATTGTTTGGGGCATCCGGAAAACACCTTGTCCGGAGAAGACAAGGTGAGCGCTACCATCAGTCCTGTGTCATGCCAACAGTAAAGCATCCTGAGACCATTCATGTGTGGGGTTGCTTCTCAGCCAAGGGAGTGGGCTCACTCACAATTTTGCCAAAGAACACAGCCATGAATAAAGAATGGTACCAACACATCCTCCGAGAGCAACTTCTCCCAACCATCCAAGAACAGTTTGGTGACGACCAATGTCTTTTCCAGCATGATGGAGCACCTTGCCATAAGGCAAAAGTGATAACTAAGTGGCTCGGGGAACAAAACATCGACATTTTTGGTCCATGGCCAGGAAACTCCCCAGACCTTAATTACATTTTACATTTTAGTCATTTAGCAGACGCTCTTATCCAGAGCGACTTACAGTTAGTGAGTGCATACATTTTTAATCCCATTGAGAACCTCAAGAGGCGGGTGGACAAACAAAAACCCACAAATTCTGACAAACTCCAAGCATTGATTATGCAAGAATAGGCTGCCATCAGTCAGGATGTGGCCCAGAACTTAATTGACAGCATGCCAGGGCGGATTAAAGAGGTCTTGAAAAAGATGGGTCAACACTGCAAATATTGACTCTTTGCATAAACTTAATGTAATTGTCAATAAAAGCCTTTAACACTTATGGAATGCTTGTAATTATACTTTAGTATACCATAGTAACATCTCATAACACTGAAGTAGCGAACTTTGTGAAGACCAATACTTGTGTCATTCTCTAAACTTTTCACCACAACTGTATGTCCATTACATGAAATCCAAATAAAAATCCATTTAAATTACAGGTTGTACTGCAACAAAATAGGAAAAACGCCAAGAGGGATGAATACTTTTGCAAGGCACTGTATGTAAGAATGCTGTTCATTGACTATAGCTCAGCCTTCTACAGAGGACCAAACTCTGCAATCTAACATTCCCATCAATCCTCTGCTCTCAGCTTCAAAACCACCGATTGGACAGGAAGTGTCACATGGTTCAGCGAGATGGACAGCTGGTGGTGAACAAAATCACCACTGTGGGAGAGGTGAGAAGGGGGGAGGTAAGGGGGCAGAGTGTATGTTTTTACATTGTGCTCTTTGAGAAGGATTTCTATCTGAGGAATTTTAACCGTGTGTGTGTGTAGGAGGTGAGGAAGCAGACTGTGTCGTACCCTCTGTCCTCTCTGAAGGGGTTAGTGTGTGAGGGATCTAACCTGCTGCTGCTGAGGGTCCTTGCTCTGAGGAAGAACGTTTTCAGGTCTCTCCAGAGATGTTCAATCGGGTTCAAGTCCGGGCTCTGGCTGGGCCACTCAAGGACATTCAGAGACTTTTCCCGAAGCCACTCCTGCGTTGTCTTGGCTGTGTGCTTAGAGTCGTCCTGTTGGAAGGTGAACCTTCGCCCCAGTCTGAGGTCCTGAACGCTCTGGAGCAGGTTTTCATCACGGATCTCTCTGTACTTTGCTCCATTCATGTTTCCCTCGATCCTGAGTAGTCTCCCAGTCCCTGCCGCTGAATAACATCCCCACAGCATGATGCTGCCCCCATCATGCATCACTGTGGTTTTATCACACCAGAGAATCTTGTTTCTCATGGTCTAAGAGTCCTTTAGGTGCCTTTTGGAAAACTCCAAGCGAGCTGTCATGTGCCTTTTACTGAGGATTGGCTTCAGTCTGGCCACTCTACCATAAAGGCCTCTCCCATCTCCACAGAGGAACTCTGGAGCTCTGTCAGAGTGACCATCGGTTCTTGGTCACTTCCCTGACCGAGGCCCTTCTCCCCAAATTGCTCAGTTTGGCTGGGCGGCCAGCTCTAGGAAGAGTCTTGGTGGTTGGAAACTTCTTCCATTTATGAATGATGGACGCCACTGTGTTCTTGGGGACCTTCAATGCTGCAGACAGTTTTTGGTACCCTTCCCCAGATCTGTGCCTCGACACATTCCTTTGACCTCATGGCTTGGTTTTTGCTCTGACTGTCAACTGTGGGACCTTTATATAGACAGGTGTGTGCCTTTCCAAATCATGTCCAATCAATTGAATTTACCCTAGGTGGACTCCAATCAAGTTGTAGAAACATCTCAAGGATGACCAAAGGCAACAGGATGCACCTGAGCTCAATTTTGAGTCTCATAGCAAACAGTCTGAATATTTATGTAAATAAGGTATTTCTGTTTTTTATTTTAAAGAAATGTGCAAACATTTCTACAAACCTGTTTTTGCTTTGTCATAATGGGGTATTGTGTGTAGATTGATGAGGAAAAAAATGTATGTAATCATTTTTAGAATAAGGCTGTAATGTAACAAAATGTGGAAAAAGTCAAGGGATCTGAATACTTTCCGAATGCACTGTATGTGCGGTCAGAGGGTGCTGGCAGCAGACGGTGGGAGAGGAGGTTGTGGAGGTGTTTGGGGTGGAGAGGACGGTCGACTCGGTGGAGGAAATCCCAGCCACGTGGCACTGCTACTTCCTGTCTGATAGATAATGACATCACTTACACTTACACTATTACAGACTACAAAGGGAAAGCACAGTCGCAAGCTTCCCAGTGACACAAGCCTACCAGACGAGCTAAACCACTTCTATGCTCGCTTCGAGGCAAGCAACACTGAAGCATGCGTGAAGCATGCGTGAGAGCACCAGCTGTTCCGGATGACTATGTGATCACGCTCTCCGTAGCCGATGTGAGTAAGACTTTTAAGCAGGTCAACATTCACAAGGCCGCAGGGCCAGACGGATTACCAGGACGTGTACTCCGAGCATGTGCTGACCAACTGGCAAGTGTCTTCACTGACATTTTCAACATGTCCCTGACTGAGTTTGTAATACCAACACGTTTCAAGCAGACCACCATAGTCCCCGTGCCCAAGGACACTAAGATAACCTGCCTAAATGACTACCGACCCGTAGCACTGACGTCGGTAGCCATGAAGTGCTTTGAAAGGCTGGTCATGGCTCACATCAACATCATTATCCCAGAAACCCTAGACCCACTCCAATTTGCATACCGCTCCAACAGATCCACAGATGATACAATCTCTATTGCACTCCACACTGCCCTTTCCCACCTGGACAAGAGGAACATTTACATGAGAATGCTATTCATTGACTACAGTTCAGCATTCAACACCATAGTGCCCTCAAAGCTCATCACTAAGCTAAGGATCCTGGGACTAAACACCTCCCTCTGCAACTGTATCCTGGACTTCCTGACGGGCCGCCCCCCAGGTGGTAAGGGTAGGTAACAACACATATGCCACACTGATCCTCAACACGGGGGCCCCTCAGGGGTGCATGCTCAGTCCCCTCCTGTACTCCCTGTTCACCCATGACTGCATGGCCAGGCACGACTCCAACACCATCATTAAGTTTGCCGACGACACAACAGTGGTAGGCCTGATCACCGACAACGATGAGACAGCCTATAGGGAGGAGGTCAGAGACCTGGCCGTGTGGTGCCAGGATAACAACCTCTCCCTCAAAGTGACCAAGACACAGGAGATGAGTGTGGACTACAGGAAAAAAAAGAGGACTGAGCACGCCCCCATTCTCATCGACGGGGCTGTAGTGGAACAGGTTGAGAGCTTCAAGTTCCTTGGTGTCCACATCACCAACGAACTATCATGGTCCAAACACACCAAGACAGTCGTGAAGAGGGCACAACAAAGCCTATTTCCCCTCAGGAGTCTGAAAAGATTTCGGCATGGGTCCTCAGATCCTCAAAAAAGTATACAGCTGCACCATCGAGAGCATCCTGACTGGTTGCATCACCGCCTTGTATGGCAACTGCTTGGCCTCCGACCGCAAGGCACTACAGAGGGTAGTGCGTACGGCCCAGTACATCACTGGGGCCAAGCTTCCTGCCATCCAGGACCTCTATACCAGGCGGTGTCAGAGGAAGGCCCTCAAAATTGTCAAAGACTCCAGCCACCCTAGCCATAGACTGTTCTCTCTGCTACCGCACGGCAAGCGGTACCGGAGTGCCCAGTCTAGGTCCAAAAGACTTCTAACAGCTTCTACCCCCAAGCCATAAGACTCCTGAACAGCTAATCATGGCTACCCGGACTATTTGCACTGCCCCCCCACCCCATCTTTTTATGCTGCTGCTACTCTGTTAATTATTTATGCATAGTCACTTTAACTCTACCCACATGTACATATTACTTCAACTACCTCAACTAGCCGGTGCCCCCGCACATTGACTCTGCACCGGTACCCCCCTGTATATATAGCCTCCCTACTGTTATTTTATTTTACTTCTGCTCTTTTTTCTCAACACTTTTTTGTTGTTGTTTTATTTTACTTTTTTACTTTTTTATTTAAAAAAAAAAATGCACTGTTGGTTAAGGGCTGTAAGTAAGCATTTCACTGTAATGTCTCCACCTGTTGTATTCGGCGCATGTGGCCAATAAAATTTGATTTGATTTGATTTTGATTTACACCAGACCAGAGAGACCCAGGCCCTACAGGGCACCACTGCTCCTGCCATCTCTTTCTCTCTGTGTGATGTTATATCCTGTTCCCCTTTTGGTACATGGCCAGCCGAGTGCAGGTGTGCTCTCCCGTCACCAGGAAGCTACTGCTGCTCCCACCCCAAACACACATATGTACCCAAACACACATATGTACCCAAACACACATATGTACCCAAACACACACATGTACCCAAACACACATATGTACCCAAACACACACATGTACCCAAACACACACATGTACCCAAACACACACATGTACCCAAACACACACATGTCACATGTACCCAAACACACACATGTACCCAAACACACACATGTACCCAAACACACACATGTACCCAAACACACACATGTACCCAAACACACACATGTACCCAAACACACACATGTACCCAAACACACATATGTACCCAAACACACACATGTACCCAAACACACATATGCTCACATACAAAGGTGTTCCCCTGTTTTCATGTTCATGTGTATGTATGTGTTGTGTGTCAGAGGTGAGGGATGATGAACCTGTGTTTGAGAAGAGGCCTCTAGCCTGGGAAGAGGATATGCAGATGCACTCCAAGTTTCTGGACAGAAAGTTGTCTTTCCCTACATCCTACCACTTACCCCCTACTCTCTTACTCTTAAACCACTAACCCCTAGGTTTCCAACATTATCTGACGTGTTTGTGTGTGTGACAGGAGGAGTTGAAGGCGGAGCATGCCACGTGCCTGCGGCAGCACCCGGAGCTCTGCGCCATGATGGCCGACTTCCTGCAGTTCCTGTTACTACGGAAACCTAGCGTTGTCTCTGTGTTGTCTTTGTGTTCGCCCGCAAGTATTTATCCCCCTGCGCCTCCCGCCGACCCTCGGGGAGCACCTTCAACACCTCATCCTGAGGATACACATGGGGGCTGTCTCAATAGTCTGAAGTAGATTCCTCTCCATATTTCCTCTCCTTCATCTGCACTGACCTGAATGGGTTGGGTAGGTTACTTTCTAATCTTTGTAATCCGTTAGTTACTAGTTACCTGTCCAAATTGTAATCAGTAATGTAACTTTTGAATTACCCAAACTCAGTAATGTAATCTGATTATTTTCTGTTACTTTTGGATTACTTTTCCCTTAAGAGGCATTAGAAGAAGACAAAAAGTATCCATCACATTTATTTTTAAAAATGTTCCTAAATACACTCCAACACTCAGACAATTTACAAATGAAGCATGTGTGTTTAGTGAGTATGTCAGATCAGAGGCAGTAGGTATGACCAAGGATGTTCTCTTGATAAGTGTGTGAATTGGACCATTTTCTTGTCCTGCTAAGCATTCAAAATGGAACGAGTACTTTCAGGTGTCAGGAAAAATGTATGGAGTAAAAAGTACATAGTTGTCTTTAGGAATGTAGTGAAGTAAAAGTAAAATGTTTCTCAAATATAAATAGTCAAATAAAGTACAGATACCAAGAAAAACTACCTAAGCAGTACTTTAAAGTATTTTTACATAAGTCCTTTACACCACTGGATAGTGGTCTCTGACTTGTGGTCAGACTCGCTCAGGTGGAACAAACTTAAACCTTTTTTCAAACCTGAATTGAATGTAATTGAGGAAACAGAAAGGTGTCATAATGTTTTTTTTGTTTGTATTTTTGCAATCAACCTTTGTGAATTAAAACATATTCCAAGAAGTAATCATCTAGTTTTTCAAAAGTATCTGTAATCTGATTACAGTATTTTTGCTGGTAATGAAACTGATTAGTTCAATTACAAAAAATCTCTTTCACCTGTCCCATATACAGGGTTGGGGAGTAACTGATATGGGACAGGTAAAAGCAATGTGATGTATGCTTGCAGACAGTGCCTACTAGAGATTTGCATTGACTTGTCCAATTAATTTATGTCAGTACAGATGGAGTGAAGAGAGGAAGTCACTTGTTGAGATGCAGCCCAGTTCTCTTTAATGCATTCCTTATTTCATCTGAGTGACAACTCAGGTTTGGGCAGTAAGGCGTAGCAGTTGTTATGAAGGAAATGAGATGGGGGGGATTTTACTAGATTATAGGGACATAAATTAGGAATTAGAGTTCATTTTTAGCTGTGTGTGGTATCAATTGGAATTTTAATAAAGCATAATTTTTATTGAAGCAAAATGTGCTTTTGTGGTTGTGTTGATTATACTTAATACATACAACAACAAAGGCCTTATAATTATCTCTGTACCCAGAAGAAGGATGACGACAATTTGTGAGAACTTTTTCTTCAATGCGTCATGTTACTGTACAACCACGCCCATTGTCATGACATACTTCCTGATTCCAATCATAAAACAGTAGAGAAGAAGTAGAACCGAAAGAAACGGGACAGCTCGAAGAGTGAGGTGGTATTTCTTATTTTTAATACATTTTGCGTACAGTGTATGTCACAGTTGAGTAAATTGACTGTTATCTTTATTTAGTCGTGTCTTCTCTCAGTGGCGTCTCATTAACTGACTACGTAGTTTCATTAGTAGAAGAAGCCAGGGGAAAATACTAGCTCAGCGACCCAAGGTGAGTTTTGTCCGCTTTTAAAGTTTATTTTAAGTTCTTATCCATTACAACAGTCAAATGTTGTATTACTGTTGAATTACAAGTTGATTTAACATGGTGTAAACATTTTTTGCATAGTATTTGCGATAACAAAAGTACAGAGTAAGCTATTCTGCCAGCAGCACAAATGATGACGTCACGGTTATGCTTATTCAAAAATAAAAGTCCGCAGTTCAACACATCAATTATCATTAGCTGATTAAACAGATACAGAATTTTTATCAATGGCCAATGTTCTACCTGTCTCCGCTAAAGTGGGGTGGGAAATACACTACAGTTGGGTCTGTGGAATCTATATATGGTGTTATTTCATGGGGGACTGTGGTCTAATGCCGCATTCACGTTATGTCAAATTAATGTAAGATATTTGCGTAAAGCTTCCTATTGCTTGATTCTGATACTTCTCAAGTGGGTAACTCGAGTTTCAGACGTCACGTGAATGTGGCATAATTACCCAGGAGCACTTTATACTCCACCCATTCCATTGGCCACAACTCAGTAGGGTCTGTAAAAACCACAGCATCACTTTATGTAAGGCAGGGTTTCCAACTGCCGGCCCACGGGCCGAATTTGGCCCGAGGGTGGTTTTATTTGGCCCCACAAGTTTTCTGAGCTTTTAGTTTGTTTAATTTTAAATGTTGGACATAAAAAAACTGTGAAAACACCAGGAAATCAGCTCCAAATGATTTTAATTTAAATCTGTTCCCAAGTATTTCCACGCATAGTAGAGAGACGTGATCATATACAAATGTAAGCAAGGTTTGAAATTATGTTTTAGTCAAATATATCGGTTTAGGCTTCTTGCGGTCAATCTAGTTGGTGATCCCTGATGTAAGGTCTTTATACTAATCAAATATATTTTGTTTTTCAGGGGGGCTTTGTCAAATGGCTGGTTATTACTCAGTCTGTCTTGTTATAGACATGCATTTAATCCTGCATGTTATATTAATTCCAAAACAATAAATTAATTTACTATTGTGTTAAATCTCAGTTAGAAAAACAAAGCATTCTAAAAAAATTTAAATAATGTTTTGCTTCCAGTGTGAATTAAAAGGCCATTCCATGCTAGACTTTCATGCACTCTTGCCTTGCCCTAATGGAGGTGCCAAATACTGATTATTAGCAGGTGATTAGTTGAGAACTGCTTCAAAGACACAATGATGGACTGGCATTAATCTGACCTAGATTAATCTAATGGGGATGAGCTGGCTGCACCTTTACACATTTAAATCAGCCCGAGGGCAGCCTTGACATGTCCCAAAAAATGCATCAGGTCAATCGCTTGGCCTAACAAATAAAATATATTTTTGGCAGTATCCCAGTAAAATCATGTTGCTATAGATTCACCCCAGCCTTCCAGTGATTTTCTTGAGCCCACCTTGGTCGCAATCAAAAGGTTTGCCTCTTGTACTTGGTTTTGGACTTTAATGGATCATATAGCCCATCTATATGTATCCCATGTACAGTGTATTGCAGTGGAGGGGGTGGAGAATGAAGTGCTGCTGGATATTTACAAGAGCTGGGAATTGCCAGGGACCTCACAATACGATATTATCGCAATACTATATGTATTGTGATTCTCACGATTCTATATGTATTGCGATTCAATACTGTGATTTGATTGCCATTCGATGTTCCAAACATATTGCTCACCGTATGTCTGCTGCAGAGGGACGAGAGAGACATGAGAAAACGAGTTTTGATTTTCTCTCTACAACCCAATATTTATCCCATATACAGTGTATTGTATTGGGGGCTATGGAGGGGGTGGAGAAATAAGTGCTGCTGGTTATGTACGACACAGTCCCATTAAAAAACGTTACATATTTCATAAGTAGAGACCCTACTGAGGGAAGTTTTTATTTTTTCTCTACAAGCCAATAAGTATCCCATATACAGTGTATTGCATTGCAGTGAATGGAGTGGGTAGAATCACCAGCATGCCGTATTAAACCCGTTGCCCAGCACAAGAGACCAAGACGATTGAGTAATTCCAATAACATGTATTTGATTAAAAGTGTATTTCTTTAAATATAGTCTACACAAACACTTTCAACTTATCAGTATGTGTGTAAACTTTCAAAAGAAATGCTGGTATAAATAATACAATATTAAAAATAAAAGTATGTCAAATTATCAATTTTATTTTTTCAAAGGTGATGGCAATGCTGTGAAAAACAGTTGTACTGCACTAGTGCAAAAAAATAATATTCCCAAAGTTTAGCATGTCTTTGAAGGAAAATAAATCTGCATCTGTGCTGCCAGCATAATATCCTGCTGCTAGCAGAAACCTTGCCACTTCGTTGCTACTGGTGTTGAGGCTGAAAGACATAAACTCAGCAAAAAAATAAAGGTCCCTTTTTCAGGACCCTGTCTTTCAAATATAATTCGTAAAAATCAAAATAACTTCACAGATCTCCTGTGGAATGGTTGTTAAGACACTAACAGCTTACAGACAGTAGGCAATTAAGGTCACAGTTATGAAAACTTAGGACACTAAAGAGGCCTTTCTACTGACTCTGAAAAACACCAAAAGAAAGATGCCCAGGGTCCCTGCTCATCTGCGTGAATGTGCCTTAGGCATGCTGCAAGGAGGCATGAGGACTGCAGATGTGGCCAGGGCCATAAATTGTAATGTCCGTACTGTGAGACGCCTAAGGCAGCGCTACAGGGAGACAGGACGGACAGCTGATCATCCTCGCAGTGGCAGACCACGTGTAACAACACCTGCACAGGATCGGTACATCCGAACATCACACCTGCGGGACAGGCACAGGATGTCAACAACAACTGCACGAGTTACACCAGGAACGCACAATCCCTCCATCAGTGCTCAGACTGTCCGCAATAGGCTGAGAGAGGCTGGACTGAGGGATTGTAGGCCTGTTGTAAGGCAGGTCCTCACCAGACATCACCGGCAACAATGTCGCCTATGGGCACAAACCCACCGTCGCTGGACCAGACAGGACTGGCAAAAAGGGCTCTTCACTGACGAGTTGTGGTTTTGTTTCATCAGGGGTGATGGTCGGATTCGTGTTTATCGTCGAAGGAATGAGCGTTACACCGAGGCCTGTACTCTGGAGTGGGATCGATTTGGAGGTGGAGGGTCCGTCATGGTCTGGGGCGGTGTGTCACAGCATCATCGGACTGAGCTTGTTGTCATTACAGGCAATCCCAACGCTGTACGTTACAGGGAAGACATCCTCCTCCCTCATGTGGTACCCTTCCTGCAGGCTCATCCTGACATGACCCTCCAGCATGACAATGCCAGCAGCCATACTGCTCGTTCCGTGCATGATTTCCTGCAAGACAGGAATGTCAGTGTTCTGCCATGGCCAGCGAAGAGCCCGGATCTCAATCCCATTGAGCACATCTGGGATCGGAGGGTGAGGGCTAGGGCCATTCCCCCCAGTAATGTCAGGGAACGTGCAGGTGCCTTGGTGGAAGAGTGGGGTAACATCTCACAGCAAGAACTGGCAAATCTGGTGCAGTCCATGAGGAGGAGATATGCACTGCAGTACTTAATGCAGCTGGTGGCCACACCAGATACTGACTGTTACTTTTGATTTTGAACTCTCCTTTGTTCAGGGACAAATTATTCAATTTCTGTTCGTCACATGTCAGTTGTTGAATCTTGTTAGGTTCATACAAATATTTACACATGTTAAGTTTGCTGAAAATAAATGCAGTTGACAGTGAGAGGACGTTTCTTTTTTTTGCTGAGTTTATGTACAAATAGTTTGGCCTGCAGCATCCCACCCTGCATCCCACTGCTGGCTTGCCTCTGAAGCTAAGCAACGTTGGTCCTGGTCGGTCCCTGGATGGGAGACCAGATGCTGCTGGAAGTGGTGTTGGAGGGCCAGTAGGAGGCACTCTTTCCTCTGGTCTAAGGAGATCCTAATGCCCCAGGGCAGTGATTGGGGACATTGCCCTGTGTAGGATGCCGTCTTTTGGATGGGACGTTAAACGGGTGTCCTGACTGTCTGTGGTAAATAAAGATTCCATGGCACTTACCGTAAGAGTAGGGGTGTTAACGCCGGTGTCCTGGCCAAATTCTCAATCTGGCCCTCATACCATCGTGGCCACCTAATAATCCCCAGCTTCCAATTGGCTCATTCATCTGTCTCTTCCCCCTGTAACTATTCCCCAGGTGGTTGCTGTAAATGACAATCTGTTATCAGTCAACTTGCCTGGTAAAATAAAACAATCTATGACTAGGAAAAAACTCATCAGGTAAAAACACATGTTGACATCCTATCTATAAAACAATATGAACTCGCTGAGCTCACATCCAGTCACTCACCTCCCCTTCATTCATTCATTCATTCATCCATCCTTCACTCATGACTGTGGCCTGTGAGTTTCTCATCCTGTCATCCAGGAGTTATATAGAGGCTGTTCACTTCTCATAGCCTTTTAGGAAGCCTTCCTCCTGGGCATCTCCTCATACCTGACCCAGCAATAATGGACCAACATGTTGGCTATAAGCCTCCTCTCCTCTCCTCCCCCCTCTCTCTCTCTCGCTCTCTCATAGCCCTGTGCAAGTGGATGTTGCTGTCTGGTCGGGGGATCCAGTGTGTGTGATGGACCTGCACCTGCTGTCCCGTATTGATGAGGAGCTGGACTCCTCTGAGGTGGCTGCCCTGTGCTTCCTGTGCAGAGATGTGCTCAACAGGAAACGCCTGGAGACGGTGAGGGATAGGGATCACATATAGAGGGCTAAAATAGAGATGAATGGCCAATCCTAACCTAATTCTCTGAAATTATTTGATAATAGGTATTAGGAATGTGGTAATAGCGCATCCTAGCCCTCAAGCAGACTATGTAGTTAGTTTATGCAATCCTTTATCTGTGCAATCCTTTCAGATGTTACAAGTGCCGAATGGAAACTGGTGAAAGGTGTAACCAAAACCATAAATTGAATTTGATTTGAAAAATACAACAGAATGTACATTGGATCCCCAGAGCATAGCACTTAAAAGCTTGAATTAAAACACTTGTTTTCAAAGTGGTCCATGGCTATAGAGAGTTTCCTATCATCCGTCCATTCCTTTTATATCAGTGAAGGGGAGTGTGCAAGTGTAGAGAATTGGAACCTAGCCCCTGTCTAATCCTTCGTGGTCTGGCTTCAGGTGCAGGATGGGCGTGACCTGTTCCTGAGGTTGCAGGAGAAAAGCCTGCTGGAGGACCACTACTTCCTGTCCCAACTCCTCAATGTCATTGGTCGACTGGACCTGCTCCGCCTCCTGGAGACGGACAGCAGACAGCCGGAGCAAACGGCCCACACCCAGACAGACGCATGCCCTGCCCTCTCACAGTACAGGTAAGCACAGAGGTGTGTGTGTGTGTGACTGCATTCTCACAACAATGGACCACATAGAACAGCAACACTGAACGGTCATTCTGGTAATTCACTGGTTGCATTACGTCTTTTTCTCTCTCTCTCTCTCTCTCTCTCTCTCTCTCTCTCTCTCTCTCTCTCTCTCTCTCTCTCTCTCTCTCTCTCTCTCTCTCTCTCTCTCTCTCTCTCTCTCTCTCTCTCTCTCTCTCAGGAGGATGTTGTATAAAGTCTCAGAAGATGTAACTCAGGAGAATCTCACCAAGATTAAGTTTTTGCTGAGCAACAAACTGCCCAGAGGACGACTGGATCTCTGCACTGTAAGAACACCTACATGCTCACATGCACACACTCGGGCACGGTCCGACCTAGCCCGAGCCCCACCTGAACCCAACCCCTACCCAAGTCCGACATCATCACATAAATGAAATGAGGCCGAACTCGATTTTTAGAATATATAATGTTGCCATTTCACCAGTAGGCTATATTGACTGTTGAGAACAATGCAGTTGAGCAGAGTGAGAAGACGAGGAAGCATCTTTTCTAAGAAAAGTGAGTAGGCCTAGAAAACTCACCTTAGTTATGATCAACAACTGTTGATTGTGTCTTGACTTTATAAAACATCCATAGCTTTAGAAATTAGACAGATCTTGCTGCTGTTTCCCGTTTTCGAGTGTTTGTTTAATACTGATTACGTAATCCGAACCGATATCCAAGCCACACGCAACCACAACATGGACAAAGCAATTGCATTTTATGAATGTGACTGTTGTTGCTATGCTGTAATAAAGGCTTTACAACTTGATTTCTCTGGGATTTCAAAACATTTGTTTAGTGTTTACATTGATCCAAACAGTCAATAAACACCAACCTTTTAATCTACCAACACCTGTTTAGCACAGAATATGCACACAGTGTGCGCTCCTCTTCCTCCTCCTTCTTGGTCTTGTATTTTTTCTTATCATTATTGCTATTATTATTATCATTATAATAATAAGTATTACTTTTTTATAATTACTAGGCCTAGTATGCTAGTAGCCTTGCATAATCTATCTATCCGCCATTGAGCACCATGAGAGCTTGTCTTGTTATAGTCGTCTTTAAAGTCACTTAGGCCTACTTCATTGTATCTCAATCAATCATTCATTCATGTCACACAGCATGATTCATGCGTCTAAAAATGATAAAGCATTTTCTTTTGAAAATAAAATAAAAGAGCCTAGAATAATTCAACAATAAACAAATACAGCAAAACTTGAATTAAACTCAGTCTCAAATAGCCGCCTGTCCTTTTTTAACAGCTGGACAACGGCGCACATTTCAGCAAATAAACGCGTGTTTCAAATAAACGCCAGGTCTAAATGAGTTGCTTACGAGGTTGACCTTGAATTACCATGAATTGTTTACGAGGTTTAATGTTTGATTTGTTACATTAAATAATTCAGTAATGACTTGACAAAATGATGTCAATCATCCGTTTTTATCGGCAGTGAGAAACAGCTAGCCATTGGCTCCTAACAGCTGAGAACTGCTAGCTAACTGGCAAGCAAAAATATAGTCAACAACTTCGGGAGTACAGACCCCCAGAAACTGTCCGATCGCCATCTAGTGGCGAAAGTAATAACCTTTTTCATAGAGACATACTAAGACAAAATAAATGTGACACAGTGTGTAAATGATAACACATTAGTGCAGGAAATGAAGACATTTATTAAAATGCTGGAAGTGAATGCTAGAATGAAACAATTAACTATGTAAATGAGCAAAAGCTGTGTGCATTAAGGAAATGGACGCCTGGCTCAAATAGAAGCCTATCTCCAATAAGCGCCTGTTGTGTTCAGTGATTTAAGCAAATAAATACTGGACTACTAATTGAGTTTTACGGTAAGTAGATTTTCTGCCTAACATCCACCATTTTAATAATCGCTCAAAAGCGCCATGTTGTGGATGCATGTTTTATTCTGAAATAACTGCATCAAGCCTAGGCCTGATTTAGGAAAACATTTGGATCAGTTATGGGTCTCCTTTCAATAGTTTACAAGGTCCAGAAAGGCCCATTAGCGGTGCAGTCATAGGGTGTATATTTGTTAGAATGTATCGGCTTCTCCTGATTCTGAGATGCGCTGCCTGTCTTGGTCTTGTGGATCATCATTCTCCCGAGTGCGCTCCAGCTTTTTTGCATCGCAATTTGAAACGTTTAATTGATCAGATAAATATGTTGAATCATTGCCACATTTCTCTGGCCCAGCCAATATTGAAATCCTGGTGCTGCAGCTGCTGCTGAGAGCAGTAGTAAAATGTGTGCTAGACTTGCAGTCTTTTTTTACACAGTGGGGCAAGCCCGAACCCGGCCCAAATCAATTCTCAGAAATTCAGGCCCAGCCCGTTAAAAGCCCGTCAGGCCCCGTCGAGTTCAGGCTGAAAATGGGAGCTCTATGGCTGCGTTTACATAGGCAGCCCAATTCTGATATTTTTTTTTACTAATTGGTATTTTACCAATCAGATCAGCTCTTTTGACCATGTAGCCTAACACACACACACAATTACACTCTCTCTCTCCTTCCCTCTCTCTTTCGCGCTCTTTCTGTCTCTATCTCTCTCCCCCCCTCCCCATAGACTGCCCTGGAGGTGCTGTGTGAGATGGAGAGGCAGGGGCTGCTGACAGAGGACAGACTGGACGAGCTACAGATGACACTGGAGGAGTGTGATACACAGCTGGCCCACACAGTACGGCAGCATAGAGGAGGTACATATTGACGCACGCATACACACACACACCTGGCTAGCAGGGACAAGTCACTCTCACTGTTCACTCTTCCCTCTCTCACATCACTCTCTCTCACTGACTGATAGTTCAGTATTTATGCAGTATATAAAAATATATATATATTTTATTTTCATGTGGTTGCTGTTTTTCAGCAAGGGGCAGTCTGTCACGGCAGGAGTACACTGTTCAGCCAATCAGCAACCAGGAACAGCAACCAAGCACCTCCCACTGCTTCAGCATGGAGCAGAGGGCCCCCAGCCCCCCTCTGTTACTACAGAGCCTGTCTATATCAGAGACACAGCCCAGCCGTAAGAAACACACACACACATATATACACACGCGCGCGCGCACACACACACGTAGTTAAAGTGTGTTCTTGTCCTATGTCCATAGGTGAGCGTGGGCAAAGCGTGAGTGTGTACTCAGATTCAGGGATGGAACCTCAGCCTGGGTCTGGGCCTGACCAGGTAACCACTTCAACGATGCAACTTTGGAACACCTCTTGGGTTAGACAGTAGGGTAGACTTTTGACACCAGTTTATTTTTGTCCATGGTGGTAACTCTAGTGTGTGTGTGTGTGTGTGTGTGCCCAACAGATGGAGCGCTATTCCATGACCCATAAACCTCGGGGGACCTGCTTAATCATCAATAACCACCACTTCATAAGATTTTCAGATCTGACAGACAGAACCGGAACTGAGCAGGACGAGAGTAGGCATCCTCGCTCATTGGTTGATATTATGAGCCTGATCTCATTCAGTGAGGCCCATTGGCCAACCTGGATTTTTAATTCTCCCATCTCTCTGTCTCTCTCTGTGTCTGCATGTCCGTCTGTCTCTTGCTCTGTGTGTGTGTCTCTCTGTCTCTGTCTCTCTGTGTGTAGAGGCTCTGAATACGGTGTTCTCCAATTTGGGGTTTAGGGTGGAAGTGGGTAGCGACATGACAAAGAAGACCATGTTGGAGGCAGTACAGGAGCTTGGAATGCGGAGTCACTTACAGGCAGACGCTCTGGTGAGTAGTGAGGTCATAATTCTCCAGTCTCTTCAGGAGGTACAGTAGCTCTACTCTTGAAGCCCAATTGGACTCCAATGAATGAAAGTAGATTAAACTATTGTAATCCCTGTGTCTGGTCCTAGGTGGTGTGTGTGCTGTCCCATGGGGAGAAGGGGTGTGTGTTTGGAACAGATGGAGAGGAGGTGCCCATTCGCTCCCTCACACAACCCTTCACCAGCGAGCAGTGCCCTTCTCTGGTTGGCAAACCCAAACTGTTCTTCATCCAGGCCTGCCAAGGAAAGGGCTTCCAGCGAGGGTCACCATTACCCCCCCCCAGTAGGCGACAGGGGCAGTATGAGGCAGACGCCACCGAATCCGTCCCCTGCTATGCAGACTTCCTGATCGGTATGGCAACAGTGGAAGAGTGCAAGTCATTCCGAAACACTAAGGATGGTTCCATCTACATCCAGGAGCTCTGCAAACAGCTGGACTGGGGAGCGGACAGGTGAATTAGAGGGGAATGGGGTTAGTAGGTCTGGCATTAACCATAGAGATGTATAAAGATCATTACAAAGAAATAAGAGGTTGCCATTGAGGGATTCCACCATTTTAAAGGCCCAATGCAGACTTTTGTATATCAATATCAAATAATTTCTGGGTAACAATTAAGTACCTCACTGTATAAGTTTTTCATTAAAATTGACAAAAAATTGCTTTTTTAGCAGAAAAGTATTTCTCAAGCAAGAATTGTGCTAGGACTGTCTGGGAGTGGTCTGAGTGGGGAGGGGAAAACTGAAAACTAGCTCTTACTGGGAGAGAGGTTTGGAACTCTCTTTGTTATTGGTCTATTAACCAATTGACCGCCTTGTGATGTCACCAGGAAAGCCGAAACTTAATTTTGACTACACTGGGCCTTTTAAATAGTCAACTGGGTGGGAATTCAATGGGTTGGGAGCGATTAGCCAATGATCAGACCATTGTAGTCTTCTTCAAATTGGTTTGAATTCCCACCCAGTTGACTATTACTCCTAGTGCCACTAGAGATCCTGGTTCGAATCCAGGCTCTGTCGCAGCCGGCCGCGACCGGGAGACTCATGGGCGGCGCACAATTGGCCCAGCGTCGTCCACGGTAGGGGAGGGAATGGCCGGCAGGGATGTAGCTCAGTTGATAGAGCATGGCGTTTGCAAAGCCAGGGTTGTGGGTTCGTTTCCCACGGGGGGCCAGTATAAAAAAATATGTATTCACTAACTGTAAGTCGCTCTGGATAAGAGCGTCTGCTAAATGACTAAAATGTAAATGTAAAATGTTTGCCTAGTTTGTAAATGGCTTTATGCTATGTGACCGCCATCTAGTGGCCACAAAGGAATTACACACACTATTTGGTTCAAGATTCCAGCACTGCAGGTGGCGGTATGTCACAAATACAAGCTTTACACTTTTTTCAGACATCAGAAGAAAAAAAAGGACTCTTTTAAAATGGAGATGATGCTGCCTTTGCGGTCACAGACGCCATAATGGCAGATAAAATGTTGCGGTCTCTATATATCTCAACAGGTGAGAGCTGTATTGTGATGTGTATTTCCTGTTTCCTCTGTAGTGGGGAGGATATGCTGTCGGTGCTGACGCGTGTGAATCGTGAGGTCAGCAGAGGAGTGTTTAAAGACTCCAAACAGATGCCCGAGCCCAAGTACACCCTCACCAAGAAACTCTTCCTCTCCTACCTCTGAAAAACCTCTGGTTGGCTGACTTAAACCGTCAAATCTTGTCCCGCCTTCTGGACTAAGACACTTCAGAATGGCTGTCATGTCTTAACAGTAATCTATCATTCTCAGGAACCCTACCACAGCTTCCTCTGCCTTGGCCAAACTCCCATAAGACAGTGTGTTGAACATTAGTTGGCATGTCTGTTTTCCTGAAAGATGTTTTAAGCTCATGAGATTAATAACTTTTTCCATTAAATGCTGGCAATTGAGGAATGTTTACTTTATCTGTGGAGCAGAACTATAATACATGTGTATTCTATCACTGCTGGTTCTGGAGATGGTCAGTAAAATGGGTGTCTGTTTTTCTATTAGCCATGTTTCAAATTTTTTTTAGTTCAAGATGTCTCTAATTCTGAGGAGTATGACATGAAGACTTCAGCAATCCAACTGTTGATCACATATTTATTTTCAGGTATAAAATATGTTAAGGTGAAAGGCAGGTAAGAAAACCCCAAAAAGGAAAGAAGATTAAATCACATAAAAACATGTAATATAGTAAAGCTTAAACAATGTGTTGATATATCAATTGCTTTGTTCTTGCTATGAAATATGAAAATCCACTTGTTTACAAAAGAATGGTGATTCTGAACTGTATCTTTCCCCCTCAATCTACACACAATAACCCATAATGACAAAGCAAAAACAGGTTTTTAGAAATGTTTACAAATGTACAGTGGGGAAAAAAAGTATTTAGTCAGCCACCAATTGTGCAAGTTCTCCCACTTAAAAAGATGAGAGAGGCCTGTAATTTTCATCATAGGTACACGTCAACTATGACAGACAAAATGAGAAAAAGAAAATCCAGAAGATCACATTGTAGGATTTTTAATGAATTTATTTGCAAATTATGGTGGAAAATAAGTATTTGGTCAATAACAAAAGTTTCTCAATACTTTGTTATATACCCTTTGTTGGCAATGACACAGGTCAAACGTTTTCTGTAAGTCTTCACAAGGTTTTCACACACTGTTGCTGGAATTTTGGCCCATTCCTCCATGCAGATCTCCTCTAGAGCAGTGATGTTTTGGGGCTGTCGCTGGGCAACACGGACTTTCAACTCCCTCCAAAGATGTTCTATGGGGTTGAGATCTGGAGACTGGCTAGGCCACTCCAGGACCTTGAAATGCTTCTTACGAAGCCACTCCTTCGTTGCCCGGGCGGTGTGTTTGGGATCATTGTCATGCTGAAAGACCCAGCCACGTTTCATCTTCAATGCCCTTGCTGATGGAAGGAGGTTTTCACTCAAAATCTCACAATACATGGCCCCATTCATTCTTTCCTTTACACGGATCAGTCGTCCTGGTCCCTTTGCAGAAAAACAGCCCCAAAGCATGATGTTTCCACCCCCATGCTTCACAGTAGGTATGGTGTTCTTTGGATGCAACTCAGCATTCTTTGTCCTCCAAACACGACGAGTTTAGTTTTTTACCAAAAAGTTATATTTTGGTTTCATCTGACCATATGACATTCTCCCAATCCTCTTCTGGATCATCCAAATGCACTCTAGCAAACTTCAGACGGGCCTGGACATGTACTGGCTTAAGCAGGGGGACACGTCTGGCACTGCAGGATTTGAGTCCCTGGCGGCGTAGGCGTAGTGTGTTACTGATGGTAGGCTTTGTTACTTTGGTCCCAGCTCTCTGCAGGTCATTCACTAGGTCCCCCTGTGTGGTTCTGGGATTTTTGCTCACCGTTCTTGTGATCATTTTGACTCCACAGGGTGAGATCTTGCATGGAGCCCCAGATCGAGGGAGATTATCAGTGGTCTTGTATGTCTTCCATTTCCTAATAATTTCTCCCACAGTTGATTTCTTCAAACCAAGCTGCTTACCTATTGCAGATTCAGTCTTCCCAGCCTGGTGCAGGTCTACAATTTTGTTTCTGGTGTCCTTTGACAGCTCTTTGGTCTTGGCCATAGTGGAGTTTGGAGTGTGACTGTTTGAGGTTGTGGACAGGTGTCTTTTATACTGATAACAAGTTCAAACAGGTGCCATTAATACAGGTAACGAGTGGAGGACAGAGGAGCCTCTTAAAGAAGAAGTTACAGGTCTGTGAGAGCCAGAAATCCTGCTTGTTTGTAGGTGACCAAATACTTATATTCCAGCGATTACAGCCTTGTGTCTTCCTGGGAATGTCCCTACAAGCACGGCACACCTGTATTTGGGGAGATTCTCCCATTCTTCTTTGCAGATCTTCTCAAGCGCTGTCAGGTTGGATGGGGAGCATCACTGCACAGCTATTTCCAGGTGTCTCTAGAGATGTTCGATCAGGTTCAAGTTTGGGCTGTGGCTGGGCCACTCAAGGACATTCAGAGACTTATCCCGAAGCCACTCCTGCGTTGTCTTGGCTATGTGCTTAGGGTCGTTGTCCTGTTGCGCTTGGAAGGTGAACCTTCGCCCCAGTCTAAGGTCCTGAGCACTGGAGCAGGTTTTCATCAAGGATCTCTGTACTTTGCTTCGTTCATCTTTGCCTCGATCCTGACTAGTCTCCCAGTTCCTGCTGCTGAACAACATCCCCACAGCATGATGCTGCCACCACCAGGCTTCACCGTAGGGATGGTGCCAGGTTTCCTTCAGACGTGACGCTTGGCATTCAGGCCAAAGAGTTCAATCTTGGTTTCATCAGACCAGAGAATTTTGTTTCTCATGGTCTGAGAGTCTTTAGGTGCCTTTTGGCAAACTCCAAGTGTCACGTCTGAAGGAAACCTGGCACCAGAAATGTCTAAAAACAATTTTTTCACTTTGTCATTATGGGGTACTGTGTGTAGAGTGATGAGGGAAAAAACGAATTTAATCAATTTTAGAATAAGGCTGTAATGTATCAAAATGTGGAAAAAGTAAATGGGTCCATTTTTGAAAATTACAACCTTACCAATATGGAGAATGTAGCCAGTTTGACCATATGTCAATGTTAAGCAAGCTAGCTAACTTTTTATTAGCAAAGTTAGTTAGCTCACCACCAGTTGGCAAGTTGGAAATTTCAGATTTTCCTAGTTCCGACTTGGGGTGGCACTGTGAACACCAGCCTCTTCGTCAGGGTGTAATTGGGCTCGGGAAACTGCTCGGCCTGCTTGTAATCCTTGGCATTCTTATCCCAGTATTGCCCATCCTTTTGCCTCACGTCTCTATTGACATGCGTTAGGATGGTCAGGATGTCATCACCTCTAGAGAGAGCAGGAGATACACACATACCAGACAATGCAGACATTAACACCCAGAAAAGACAACAACTCACAACTCACTGCTCCCATAAAATACACATCGCCAGCAATGCATAAATTTCAGATTAGAGTCAGGGGACTTGTTCACTGTGAGCTAATAGATTTTATAGTAATATTATTCTAACCTTTACTTAACTAGACAAGTCCCTGGTTTACACCTGATAGTGTGTAGACTGGAGTTCTGAACAACACTGTTATTCTGTAGTATATGGTCAGTTTTGTATTGTCAGCTCTTTTCCTACTAAACATCTGCTTTGTTATGTAAGAATATTTTAGCCACTAGAACAGTAGTTCTCAAATGGTTTTGCTCGGGACAGAAATTGAACCAGGTTGTTTCAGTCACGACCCAATATTTTCATCGCGAAAAACAATCGCTTAAATACACTGCTCAAAAAAATAAAGGGAACACTTAAACAACACAATGTAACTCCAAGTCAATCACACTTCTGTGAAATCAAACTGTCCACTTAGGAAGCAACACTGATTGACAATACATTTAACATGCTGTTGTGCAAATGGAATAGACAACAGGTGGAAATTATAGGCAATTAGCAAGACACCCCCAATAAAGAAGTGGTTCTGCAGGTGGTGACCACAGACCACTTCTCAGTTCCTATGCTTCCTGGCTGATGTTTTGGTCACTTTTGAATGCTGGCGGTGCTTTCACTCTAGTGGTAGCATGAGACGGAGTCTACAACCCACACAAGTGGCTCAGGTAGTGCAGCTTATCCAGGATGGCACATCAATGCGAGCTGTGGCAAGAAGGTTTGCTGTGTCTGTCAGCGTAGTGTCCAGAGTATGGAGGCGCTACCAGGAGACAGGCCAGTACATCAGGAGACGTGGAGGAGGCCGTAGGAGGGCAACAACCCAGCAGCATGACTGCTACCTCTGCCTTTGTGCAAGGAGGAGCAGGAGGAGCACTGCCAGAGCCCTGCAAAATGACTTCCAGCAGGCCACAAATGTGCATGTGTCTGCTCAAACGGTCAGAAACAGACTCCATGAGGGTGGTATGAGGGCCCGACGTCCACAGGTGGGGGTTGTGCTTACAGCCCAACACCGTGCAGGACGTTTGGCATTTGCCAGAGAACACCAAGATTGGCAAATTCGCCGCTGGCGCCCTGTGCTCTTCACAGATGAAAGCAGGTTCACACTGAGCACATGTGACAGATGTGACAGAGTCTGGAGACGCCGTGGAGAACGTTCTGCTGCTTGCAACATCCTCCAGCATGACCGGTTTGACGGTGGGTCAGTCATGGTGTGGGGTGGCATTTCTTTGGGGGGCCGCACAGCCCTCCATGTGCTCGCCAGAGGTAGCCTGACTGCCATTAGGTACCGAGATGAGATCCTCAGTCCCCTTGTGAGACCATATGCTGGTGCGGTTGGCCCTGGGTTCCTCCTAATGCAAGACAATGCTAGACCTCATGTGGCTGGAGTGTGTCAGCAGTTCCTGCAAGAGGAAGGCATTGATGCTATGGCCCGCCCGTTCCCCAGAACTGATTCCAATTGAGCACATCTGGGACATCATGTCTCGCTCCATCCACCAACGCCACGTTGCACCACAGACTGTCCAGGAGTTGGTGGATGCTTTAGTCCAGGTCTGGGAGGAGATCCCTCAGGAGACCATCCGCCACCTCATCAGGAGCATGCCCAGGCGTTGTAGGGAGGTCATACAGGCACGTGGAGGCCACACACACTACTGAGCCTAATTTTGACTTGTTTTAAGGACATTACATCAAAGTTGGATCAGCCTGTAGTGTGGTTTTCCACTTTAATTTTGAGGGTGACTCCAAATCCAGACCTCCATGGGTTGATACATTTGATTTCCATTGATAATTTTTGTGTGATTTTGTTGTCAGCACATTCAACTATGTAAAGAAAAAAAGTATTTAATAAGATTATTTCATTCATTCAGATCTAGGATGTGTTGTTTAAGTGTTCCCTTTATTTTTTTGAGCAGTGTACAATCTGGAAAACAATTTTTTATGCTATATTGATAGTAAATGTAGCACTTATATGGCAAGGGAAAAACATTCCCACCTTTCATTGTCAATAATAACATTTTGCCCAAATTCTTGATGAAGAATGTTAATAAACTCACTGGTTTGAGACCACAAAATCAACCAAAATAGCGCTGCTAATAGCTATATTGAAAATACTGTGATTGAAGTTACACTATGCAGAAATCGCTCCACTATTTCCTGGTTGCTAAAACTCTAATAGTTCACCTAATTTCAGTTTATGTGACAAAATAAGATAGTCTTGTGTAGAGAATCATTGCACCACTGTGAAATATATTATATTAACCAAAAATATTGTTGTTTCAGCTCTTTGAAGATGGTGTACAAAACCGATAGTAAAAGACGCAACAACAACAAAAATAAGAACGGGAAGCAAAGAAATAGCGCACATAGAACAGATCTACCGCTTTAGACATGCTTTCAAGTAGAATGATATATCTATAACTCACATTTCTATGAGCATTTGGTCAGGTCACCCATAAAGTTACATATTGCCACTTTAAATTATTTAAAAATGTAAGTTCATTATCATTTCTACACACTTTTTAAACTGGTTTAAGTTCAGACTGGAGTATTTTTTCATAAAGAATCAATAAATAAACATTATTTTTACTCAGACGCCCGCGAGCCACCAGTTGAGAATTGCTGCTCTAGAGCATATATTCAATCAGGCTTCACCTGGGACAGCCCTGTTTGAGCTGTTCGCACAGAGTCTGGATGAACCAGAACCCCTGGTTTGGGTCTCTGAAGGACTTGTAGTCTTCAACAGTGGCCATGGCAACCAGGAAATCAGCATCAGCTGGAATGTAGATCTGGTGACTTGGATTTGCGTCCGCCTCCAACTCCACTCTAGCTTGGGTATCTTTCCCCCGACATGCCTGGATGAAGAACGCCTTGGGCTTGCCAATGAGGGTGGAGCAGTTGGTGCCTTTGAAGGGTGGAGAAGAGGTCATTGGTGGAGATGGGTTTGTCATCTGTGCCATAGATAACTCCTTTGTCACCATGACTCAGTACGCAGCAGACAAAGGCTTCGCCATGCTTCTCTTCACCAAACCTCTTCAATCCTTTGCTGGCCTGCACTGCTGTCTGGTCTAGGAGTACAGTCACCTTAAAACCAAGCCACTGGAACACATCCTTCAGAACATTTACAGGAAAGGCACACACACACAACAATTCCAAGACAAACACTAAACCAAGCCACTTAAATATCTCCCTTTTACAGTACCAGGATGTTTTGAGGCAAGAGGAACAAGATCAATGTTAATGCAACAACAATATGGAACAAATATGTTATAGAACTGTCTTTGTCTGATCCTTTTCTTTCCCCCATTTCATTAAAGTGCACAATGACCTCATGGCAGGCTGGTCATTCTGTACTGACAGACCTGGAAACACAGAGAAAAGCCATGGGATTAAGCACAAACATGCATACACACGTTGCAGAGTCAGGAGACAAGCACTTACTTAACTCAGTGCAGTGTACACAGGTTAAAAGCTCTATGTTCCTTGTGTATGTTTTGTAGTGCAAAAAGAAAAATGTTTTATTCATTGACTTGACTGGAGTTGGTGGTGGTCTGAGGTGCTCAGTTGGGTTATGAGTAGTATTGTGAATCTTGTGTTTTGAGCAGTTTGTTTTATTGTGTTTTGTGTAGTTGTGATGATTTGTTTGGTTTTGTTTTAGCTAAGAATGAACGCATACGGGATTGCTACAATTACCTCACTACTCGTTCCAACTGCCTGGCCAGTAGCATCTGGAAAAAACAGTTAGCATGTGTTAGTGTCCCTACTACAGACAATATGAGTTAGCAGATCCATGCTAACTGACAGTCCTGGTTGGCAGCATGTTATTGTACAGGAAGGATTGTTCCATAGGCGTGTGTTTTTAGGGAGTGATATTGGTTCTTGTAGAATCTGTTTCATTTTCTTCCATATTGTTATAGTGTTCTTAACTATGAAGTTGTTAATGTTCTTAGCTTTATCCTTTGAAAATAGACACGTGAAACGATTCTGGGTATGAGCATGGGTTGGACCATACTTTTCTGGTCATTCATTTTGAAATAAAGTTTACTTAAAAACTGGAAATCAAATAATCCTCCATCGTTAAGACAGGGGTGAATGAAATGCATTATTATTGAAATATATATTTTTTTAAATGGCAACAGAGAGAAACAAATGAGCACAATTTGAAGCCATGTGGTATAAAGGATTACATGCACTAGAAATATCCAAAGGATGAAAAATTCGGAGAAAAAAAAAAATATTATGAGAACAAACAAGATGGGTATGGATATGGTGGGAACATGTAGGTCTGAGCAAGTACGATGTCATTAATGTTTGTTGAAATGTATGTACAGTGGGGAAAAAAAGTATTTAGTCAGCCACCAATTGTGCAAGTTCTCCCACTTAAAAAGATGAGAGAGGCCTGTAATTTTCATCATAGGTACACGTCAACTATGACTGACAAAATGAGAAAAAAAATTCCCGAAAATCACATTGTAGGATTTTTTATGAATTTATTTGCAAATTATGGTGGAAAATAAGTATTTGGTCAATAACAAAAGTTTCTCAATACTTTGTTATATACCCTTTGTTGGCAATGACACAGGTCAAATGTTTTCTGTAAGTCTTCACAAGGTTTTCACACACTGTTGCTGGTATTTTGGCCCATTCCTCCATGCATATCTCCTCTAGAGCAGTGATGTTTTGGGGCTGTCGCTGGGCAACACGGACTTTCAACTCCCTCCAAAGATTTTCTATGGGGTTGAGATCTGGAGACTGGCTAGGCCACTCCAGGACCTTGAAATGCTTCTTACGAAGCCACTCCTTCGTTGCCCGGAAAGTGTGTTTGGGATCATTGTCATGCTGAAAGACCCAGCCACGTTTCATCTTCAATGCCCTTGCTGATGGAAGGAGGTTTTCACACAAAATCTCACGATACATGGCCCCATTCATTCTTTCCTTTACACGGATCAGTCGTCCTGGTCCCTTTGCAGAAAAACAGCCCCAAAGCATGATGTTTCCACCCCCATGCTTCACAGTAGGTATGGTGTTCTTTGGATGCAACTCAGCATTCTTTGTCCTCCAAACACGACGAGTTGAGTTTTTACCAAAATGTTCTATCTTGGTTTCATCTGACCATATGACATTCTTCTGGATCATCCAAATGCACTCTAGCAAACTTCAGACGGGCCTGGACATGTACTGGCTTAAGCAGGGGGACACGTCTTGCACTGCAGGATTTGAGTCCCTGGCAGCGTAGTGTGTTACTGATGGTAGGCTTTGTTACTTTGGTCCCAGCTCTCTGCAGGTCATTCACTAGGTCCCCCCGTGTGGTTCTGGGATTTTTGCTCACCGTTCTTGTGATCATTTTGACCCCACGGGGTGAGATCTTGCGTGGAGCCCCAGATCGAGGGAGATTATCAGTGGTCTTGTATGTCTTCCATTTCCTAATAATTGCTCCCACAGTTGATTTCTTCAAACCAAGCTGCTTACCTATTGCAGATTCAGTCTTCCCAGCCTGGTGCAGGTCTACAATTTTGTTTCTGGTGTCCTTTGACAGCTCTTTGGTCTTGGCCATAGTGGAGTTTGGAGTATTACTGTTTGAGGTTGTGGACAGGTGTCTTTTATACTGATAACAAGTTCAAACAGGTGCCATTAATACAGGTAACGAGTGAAGGACAGAGGAGCCTCTTAAAGAAGAAGTTACAGGTCTGTGAGAGCCAGAAATCTTGCTTGTTTGTAGGTGACCAAATACTTATTTTCCACCATAATTTGCAAATAAATTCATAAAAAATCCTACAATGTGATTTTCGGGAATTTTTTTTCTCATTTTGTCAGTCATAGTTGACGTGTACCTATGATGAAAATTACAGGCCTCTCTCATCTTTTTAAGTGGGAGAACTTGCACAATTGGTGGCTGACTAAATACTTTTTTCCCCCACTGTATGTCTGAGTTGGTGTTTTTGTCTTTATTCGTCTTTATTTTTATGTCGAAGGTTGGGCATTAAGTCCCAGCCATCGTCATGTCTAGTTTATTGGAGCCATGTCTGTGAAATGTTAAGTTGTATTTTGTCTATGTCTATTTTCTATTGTCTAAGGATGTAAATAAAATCATACAATTTTTTTTACATAAGAAAAAATTAAGTGACATTTTACAATAAATGTAATAACTGAATTCCCACCCAAATCCATGAAAACAGTAATATGTTTGATGTGCTATAATTCAGTCAACATCTGATGGGTTTTAAAAAATTCTAAACGTTTGGAGTATCTTCACTCACTGTCCAACTGTTGCACTTATTATAATTGTTTTTAAAACCTTATAACAATTTTGATGACCGTTGCTAATGTACAGTTGAAGTCGGAAGTTTACATACACTTAGGTTGGAGTCATTAAAACTCGTTTTTCAACCACTCCACAAATGTCTTGTTAACAAACTATAGTTTTGGCAAGTCGGTTAGGACATCTACTTTGTACATGACACAAGTAATCTTTCCAACAATTGTTTACAGACAGATTATTTCACTTATAATTCACTGTATCACAATTCCAGTTGATGATACACTAAATTGACTGTGCCTTTAAACAGCTTGGAAAATTCCAGAAAATGATGTCATGGCTTTAGATGGTTCTGATAGGCTAATTGACATCATTTGAGTCAATTGGAGGTGTACCTGTGGATGTATTTCAAAGCCTACCTTCAAACTCAGTGCCCCTTTGCTTGACATCATGGGAAAATCTAAAGAAATCAGCCAAGACCTCAGCAAAAATGGTAGACCTCCACAAGTCTGGTTCATCCTTGGGAGCAATTTCCAAATGCCTGAAGGTTCCACGTTTATCTGTACAAACAATAGTACGCAACTATAAACACCATGGGATCATGCAGCCGTCATACCACTCAGGAAGGAGACGCGTTCTGTCTCCTAGAGATGAACGTACTTTGGTGCGAAAAGTGCAAATCAATCCCAGAACAGCAAAGGAACATGTGAAGATGCTGGAGGAAACAGGTACAAAAGTATCTATATCCACAGTAAAACAAGTCCTATATCGACATAACCTGAAAGGCCGCTCAGCAAGGAAGAAGCCACTGCTCCAAAACCACCATAAAAAAGCCAGACTATGGTTTGCAACTGCACATGGGGACAAAGATCGTACTTTTTGGAGAAATGTCCTCTGGTCTGATGAAACAAAAATATAACTGTTTAGCCATAATGACCATCGTTATGTTTGGAGGAAAAAGGGGGAACGCTTGCAAGCCGAAGAACACCATCCCAACCTTGAAGCACGGGGGTGGCAGCATCATGCTGTGGGGATGCTTTGCTGTAGGAGGGACTGGTGCACTTCACAAAATAGATGGCATCATGAGGAAGGAAAATTATGTGGATATATTGAAGCAACATCTCAAGACATCAGTCAGGAAGTTAAAGCTTGGTCGCAAATGGGTCTTCTAAATGGACAATGACCCCAAGCATACTTCCAAAGTTGTGGCAAAATGGCTTAAGGACAACAAAGTCAAGGTATTGGAGTGGCCATCACAAAGCCCTGACCTCAATCCTATAGAAAATGTGTGGGCAGAACTGAAAAAGTGTGTGCGAGCAAGGAGGCCTACAAACCTGACTCAGTTACACCAGCTCTGTCAGGAGGAATGGGACAAAATTCACCCAACTTATTGTGGGAAGCTTGTGGAAGGCTACCCAAACGTTTGACCCAAGTTAAACAATTTAAAGGCAATGCTACCAAATACTAGTTGAGTGTATACTAAACTTCTGACCCACTGGGAATGTGATGAAATAAATAAAAGCTGAAATAAATCATTCTCTCTACTATTATTCTGATATTTCACATTCTTAAAATAAAGTGGTGATCCTAACTGACCTAAGACAGGGAATTTTTACTAGGATTAAATGTCAGGAATTGTGAAAAACTGAGTTTAAATGTATTTGGCTAAGATGTATGTAACCTTCCGACTTCAACTGTATCTTCATGAGCAGGGACAGTGAGGGACATTGTCTCACCGATTTCTGGTTGAGCTCATCGCTGAGCATCTCAAACTCCTTGGTCTTGTCCTCCACCTCCTGGCTCTTCTGGTCATAGTTAACAGCCAGCTCCTCCAATGCCTGCAGAACTTCCTTCACCTCATCCTGGAAAGCCTCGTTCTCAGCCTGCTGGCGGTTCAGCTCTGACTGCAGGTTATCATGGTCGCGCCGCGACGACACCAGCAGCTACAAATACAAACATGCTTTGAACCCATTTTATGATTCAACCCATAGGGCTCTGGTTAAAAGTACTGCACTATATAGGGAATAGGGTGCCATTTGGAAAACAGACACTCACCTCCTCCTGGTCCAAAATCTGCTGCTTGAGCTTCTCAGCCAGCTGGCTCTG